CAACTACATTTATCAGTTATTTTACAGACCTTTTGCCGAACACACACAAAAAGATAGTTTTGATGTCAGAAAGGGTGGCATATAGAAAAGAACCATGGTATAACTATAGAGACAGATAGGGTAACATAAATGCATTTATAACTTCTGTAAAGAGGATCAAAAGCTGCTTCTCTATATCTTTCTTTTCTTTTTCTTGTTTGCTTATTATTCACTTACCAGATTTCTTTACTTTTTTATCTTTAAATTTGTATTGGTTTTGCTCTCTAAAAAATCTCTTCAATGAAAATTGAGAGATAATAGTAAAATTTATCCTACTTCAGACTCATTATGTGAAGACTTAGGTCCCTGGAAAAGGTTTTAATTCTAAAACAAGTGGAAGGAAAGAAAAGAAGCAGAACAATCAGCAGCAAGGTGGATGGACTCAGCGGCAAGAGCAATGAAAGGCGTAAAAGACCACGTTAAGGATAGACTATCCTGGAGAAAAATCTGTCTATGTGGTCACTGAAAGTCAAGAATGACTTGATAGCAATTAGACTTATATACCACTTCACAGTGCTTTACAGCCCTCTTTAATTGGTTTACAGAGTCAGCCTATTGCCCCCAACAATCTGGATCCTCATTTTACCCACCTAGAAGGATGGAAGGCGGAGTCAACCTTGAGCCTGGTGAGATTCGAACTACCAAATTGCAGGCAGCCAGCAGTCAGTAGAAGTAGCCTGCAATACTACATTCTAACCACTGCGCCACCGCGGCTCTATGATGGCATATAATCATTAAAAAAAAAAAAAAAGGTTTGCAACAGCTCACCATAACATTTTCTATGCTCCTATCCAGAAAGGCATGAAGGGAATGTTAGGAGCTGTGAAGCGCAAGGTCCGAATGAAATAAAGTGGGATACTAGCAGTTAAAAATGTATTACATATGGATGTGTCACTTAAACCCATCCTAGTCATCCATTTTAAAAAAATCCATAAAGACAGTATGCTATTTTCAAACATCAGTACAATGAAATAATCTGATATGGATTTAGACAGTGCACAAAATACCTATTTTACCTCTTCATGTACTACGAACCAGTTTGATTGCCCAAAGGTCATTTATAAAAAGAGCAACTGCCTAATTTGCAAATTTGCAATGGCAATCTCCAGCCCATAAAAAAACTAGGACGTTCCTTTCAATGAATCAACACATTATGTCAAACTTGCTACATTATTATTAAATCACATTCCTCTGTAGAAACAAGTATCAAAACAATTGTAGCAATAACCAGTCTGGGATTTTAAAACACACAATACATCCAAGAGTGAAAGGCACTCCATTGTTTCTAATTTGTATTTAATTGAAACATGAACTTGAATTATGTGCTGCCTGCAGAGATTTCATTACTTTAATCTGATCATGCACATGTACATTTGCTGCTAGATTCTACAATGACCTCAATAATGTACAGTAAAGCTCTTTTGTTAACAGATAAGCAATGGGGGAATAGACGTTCTTGGGAAGGGGAAAGTTAGAAATAAGATGAGATAGATGGTAGTAGTGCAAATAATTTGTAATAAAAACACACTAATTATGAATATAAAACTGAAAAAAATGTAAATAGTTTTAATTATTTTCACCTCACATTCTTTGAAGATGGGCTTTCCCAGCATCTTTCATATAGTGTTTGAGTACCACGAGACAAATCCACACAAGGCCAGACTCAGTAAACGTTACAATTGTCAAATATGAAGTGAACAGTGAATCATTTAAATAATCTTTTGTGCAGTACAATTTGACCTGTACAGATTGAGTTTCAACAACGCCTACTCCAAACCTGATCATGTATTCAGTACAGATGCTTTAGGCCAGCTGGTTAAATCCACTTCATTTTAACAACAGCCTCAAGTGAACCCATAACATAGCAAAATCTCTCTTTTTTTTTAACAATTTCACTGATAGGAGATCTTTAGCCTGAGGTGACACAGCATAATTAACCTGATTATAATTATCCTCTGTTCATTAGATGTAGTCATTTTAAATCAATTGCATCTGATTTTATGTTTCTAAAAAAAGCAATTTCGAAGAGTAGTGAAATAGATTGTTTCTATACCCTTTAATTAGCTGTGACCCATTTTAGCTACCTGACTATTATGCATTCATTGGAGCATGGAAAAGCTGCCCTGCTATTTACATCAGGGAATTGTATCCAATTCAGTCTGTAATAAACACCCATAGGAAATTATGCTTAAGGTATTGAAATTATATTATTTCCTGACTTAATTATTACATATTGTTCTTTATTCAGATTCACACTGGGTGACTACTTTAAATCATAAACCAACATGTTATACAAGCCACTAGAAACTGAGAGACCACTGAGAACTTAACCTAATAATTTAAGAGTCAGAAAAAATGAATTAAGTCTGCTCAATTTTAGAATACCTACTCAATATAAATTTAAATACAAACTTTTAGCTAAAAGATTCAGGATCAGCATCAAAAGAGATACTTTCCAAAATTCATTAGAGCCAAAACTATGTTAATAAAAGAACCATATATTATTCCAAAATAATCCATCCTTAGCTTATTCAGTTTGGACAGAAGCGGGGAGGAAAATCTCTAAACGCATGTTTAAACCTATAATTTATGAATAAGAAAAACTGAAAATTCTGTCTCATTATCCAGATTTCCTATGAAATGAAGTTTTCTAGCTATATACAGCACTGAATTGATATTATATTCTAAAAAAGAGAAAAGCACTTGCAGTATTCATCATCAAATTATCAAAGAAAAAAATGGAACTCAGATTAAATTTCTTCCCTCTGACACAGTATGTGCATATACTCCTTACATTTAGATTTTTTAACTTGGCACATCAACAGTGAGCCTAGCAACGAAGTTTCATATATTTTGCAGTTGCATATTCATAACATTTTCAGATGACCTTCATAGGACAAATGCCATTTAGTAACTGATGATAAACAAGTTCAGATATAATCCAGAACATCACTTAAAATATCTAATTACAGCTTTCAAATCTTACTGCTAGTTCAAACTATAAACTAATAAAATAGATTATGCATTTATTTAAGAGATTTATAAATCTGTCTCTCTCATAATTTGTAACTTTGGTGGCAAGTAATTAAAAAATCAAAATCAAGGAAGAAAAATATACAATCCAAAGCTAAAATAAACAATAAAAAGCAACAGATAATGAACATTTATTCAAGGCTAATAATATACATTCATAGAACAGGCTTTTGGGACTTTTGGGTAATTTTATTAGATTATGAAACAAGAAAACGTGACAGAAAATGGATAGAAGGAAGGAAGGAAGGAAGGAAGGAAGGAAGGAAGGAAGGAAGGAAGGAAGGAAGGAAGGAAGGAAGGAAGGAGTGGAGAAAAGTAAAAAATGACTGATTTTTTTTCAATAGTTAGCCCCTTTTGGACTTTTTAAACAAAACAGAAAAAAATAAAATTAAGATATATGGTTTCAGTTGAAAAAAAAATAGAAAAAATGAAGGCTATGTTGCAACCATAAAGAGTTCTGAATAATATCAAACTGGGGAGCAAAATACACTACACTACGCAACAAGTCAGAAGTACACCATTTCTATACAAGAACCAACCCTAAAAACGAACGTAGCTCATTTTTAATACTTTCCTGTGTACGATAGCAATTTGAATGCATTCCAATTTGAAGTTTCAAACACACTGGGCAATTCTTTTTTAACTTTGCCCATCACAAAGTGGCTTGCACAACCAGATTACTATAATGTTTAAAAGTTTCCATGTAATGAGGACCCGGTTTGTGGGGGCAATAAACTGACTTTGTAAAAAAAAGAACACCGCTTAGGGGGGACCGAAAGCCCTACTAAGCAGGTATATACAAAAGTATGAAGGCTATTGCTTAATGCATTGTAAGCCACCCTGAGTCTCTGGAAAAGGGCGGCATATAAATTGAACTAATAAGTAAATAAATAAATAATAAACATCCTGATTGCAGTTGCCTTATCAAAGAGAAGCAGCATCAAGGGGGGGGAGGAGGAGAAGGAGAAGAAGAGAAGGAGAAAAGGAGAAGGAGAAGGAGAAGGAGAAGGAGAAGGAGAAGGAGAAGGAGAAGAAGAAGAAGAAGAAGACGAAGAAGACGAAGAAGACGAAGAAGACGAAGAAGAAGAAGAAGAAGAAGAAGAAGAAGAAGAAGAAGAAGAAGAAGAAGAAGAAGAAGAAACAACAACCCGGAGACCTTAATTCTAAAACACAAAAGGCGGTGCAGTAGTGTAGATTGCTGGCAGAGACACCAACAAGGGCACAAATAAAGATCACACTTTGCAATCTTTAAACTGCCCAGAGTGATGGTTACGAATCCACAGCGGTACTTTTAAGAAGGGCTGAGATGAGAAAAGAAAGAGAAATACAAAGGACTCCAGAGGAGGGCATGGAATATTTGCTGTAGGGAAGTAGTAACCAAAACAAAACGTGGCGGACGCCAAAGTGATAATAATAATAATAATAAGGAAAAATCAAAAAAACGAACCCAGCCAGCTCCAAAAGGGGGGAAAAGACACCGAGAGAAACAAAAGAGGCCAGACCCAGCTTCCCCATCCAGTCTCCACTGCAATCGCAGCCCCTTTTTGCCTGGGCTTTTTGCGGGTGTCAGCTTGGCTTCATTCACTCAAAATCAATCAATCAATCAATCAATCAATCAATTTTAAAAAAAGTCAAGCCAGCCAAAGACTTGCAGGGAAGGGAGCACAATAGCGATTTAAAGCAGCTTCTTATATGCAAAATATGCCAGGGAAGAAAGGCAGCCAGGCAGCCAGGCAGGTCGGAGACGACCTTAAGCGGAGGCCGAAGTCTGGTTTTGTCTTCAGGGCGAGAGGAAGGAAAGGAAAGGAAAGGAAAGGAAGCCGTCGGCGGGTCTGATCCCAGAAAGGCGAGTCAGGCGAGGACCGGGAATGGTTGGCATGAAAGAGGAACCGGAGGCGCCATCAGCCGCCCTCGTCTCAGCACGTTACCTGCAGGCGACTTGCTTAGTCCAACCGCTGATGCTTCCCCCTCCGGCTCCGGCGGACGGTGGCTGAGGCTCGGCTGTGGGGAGGCTGGAGGCCGTGGTGGTGAGGGTGGTGGCGGAGTCGCCAGCGCTGGAAGCCGTGACAACCGCTGCCGTGGCTGTCGCTCCCGCTACTCCGCCACCACCGGGGGCCACCGCAGCCTCCGCCATTATTGTTTACCCCACACAGCGACGGCCCCACCGGAACTTCCGGGAACGCATCCTTCCGGCTGGTTGCACGGGGCGGGGCAAAGTTCGAGGGGCGGAGTTCAAAAAGGACAGGAGGCGGGTTTGGCTTTCCCTTTGGGGGGAGGGAAATGAGGCGAGCGCTCTTCTCCGATAAGCCCCGCCCACTGCGATGGAGGAGGATCTGCGGTTAGGCGATTGGAGGAGGAGGAGAAGGAGGCGGGAATTGAGAGGGTGGGGAGGAAACATTGGAAAACCGTCACGGGTCTGCACGTGGCGGGCGGGTTGACCTGCTGAAATTAAATCGCATTTGGTGTGTTGTTTTTCTGTAGCCTTTCGCGTTGTGCGCTGCATGTACACCTGTGGGGAAGGATTCTCGTTCAGGCAATAGAAACAAACATGTCAAAGCCGGTGTTTATTTTCAGCTTCGGCAATGCACTTAAGCAGGTTCTGTGTATGCAGCGCCTGTATATGCATATTTCAGGATACGCGTAGAAATACAAATTCAGAACTTCGGTCATTCTTGACTCGGGGTGACTTCTCACGCAAGGTGATTATGTTGCCGCTGCTTGTCACAGCACGCAAGGACCATCCTAAAGTGCAGGGGAAAAGTGTTTTTAGTTTCCCCTTTAACGGGATACCGTTAAGAGTTCTATTAAAAACTTCTAAGAACATTTGTAGGAAGTTTGCACCCACCCCTTTCCTGGAAGAATGAAATATTTTAGGAAATACTAAAAAGACAGAATATTATATTTCCCTGTATGAGAAATGGAAAAGCATGTTTTAAAGACGAAGCAGCTCCCATCTTCCTGCCCCCATCCTTTGTCAATGGGCCAGAGGCAGAAACTCAATCTTTGTCAATGGACCGTCATCTGCAACACAATAGGACCCATCTAGCAACAGAAACTCACCACATGGCACCTGGGAAGATTACATCAGCCAGCAAGGCTAGCTAAGACCCTCACCCCCTGGGATACTCTTTCTGGGCCCCAGGAAGTTCAAAGCCAGAAAGGGCATAAAACCCGGGGACTCACTGCGTCTCAGCCCTTTTTCTGTTCAGGAACTCAAACCATGTGATCCTGTCCACCATTAAACCATCTTTCCAAGCAGTCTCCATGTTTCCAGTGTCTTTTTCCCCACTTGGAGCTGAACCCAGAAGGATGTTTCTTCTAACACATTAAAAACTAAATCATGAAATGTCCGTGGAGATTCTCAGTCATCCAGGTCATGGTTGTCGCAAAGGTGGTTTTTCAAGAGGCAACTGGACTTTCTGGTTTTTCTTTGAAGACGTTTCACTTTTATTTTATGTACACCCAGAGCATATGCACCAGACAAATTCCTTGTGTGTCCAATCATACTTGGCCAATAAAAATTCTATTCTATTCTATTCTTTTCATCCAAGAAGCTTCTTCAGCTCTGACCAGAGCTGAAGCCTCTTGGATGAGAAGCAAAACTGAAACCTCTTGGATGAAACTGAGCTGAAGCCTCTTGGATGAGAAGCGAAACGTTTAAAGTCCAGTTGCCTCTTGAAAAAGCACATTTGGGATAAAATCATTAAATGCAAAATAAATGGTACAAGAAACATGACATCTGTTCCACTTTAATGAATTCAATCTATATTTTCAGTTAAAATGAGTAATTTACTATTTTAAGTAATATTGAAAAAAACTAGGAGTTTTGTACTAAGGAATGACATACAATTCTTAAGCTAAAATATGTTTCACCAATTTGTGACTCATTGTGTTAACTCAATGTTGATGTATGGGTTAATGAAAATGTAAACTCAAGAAACTGGATTAATACATTATTATTAATTTGTTTATTAAATGATTGGTTTTGAACATATTCTGTGAATTCAGATATTTTCATTTTTAAACATTATAACTTAGCATGTTGTGTAAACCCAACTATGACTTATTTGATAAAATGATTAAATTACAATTTAGGATAATACATGAATCAGTTGATCAACATATCAATAGACACATATCATCAGCAGAAATATAACTTCATCTGTCCTTCTGTCCTCAGCATGGAGAGTTATTTTTATTAGTTTATATCTGAAAAGTAAGAATATTTCTAAACATTCCATCATAGCCCCTTGATGAGGGTCTTATTTCAATCAACTAAAATTTAAACCCTCACAGCTAATAGTGATAGAAGTTTCAAAGAATAATGAATAGCCAGGAAGGATGCAAGTTAGGTGTCTAGACAGAGGCATGTTAATCTTATTTTGGATGATAAATTGACAAAAACTACTTTTTGCAATACTGTTATCTTTTGAACTTCCTTTTAACTTTTCTGAAAATATAGTGCCTCAGATTTATTCAAATCTGCTTTTAATTTCTCAAAAGGAAATTTCTCAATTGATGCTGGAAATTTGATATTTTAGACTCCCCTTTCTTCAGAGCGTTGAATGGTTCCAGCCTGCCACCTGTTTTTTTCTGTTAATGTTAATGATAAATGGAGTTGGTCAACACTACTCTGGAGCTGAAATGCAGCACAGCTGAAGCCACCAAGATTCTTCTGTTGCAATTCCACCCAGCCCCCATTAAAATTTCAGTCAGCGTATGATCGCAAGAAACAGATGCCAGAGGTAAGGAGTTGGCTATATGACCATCTTTTTCTCAGAACAGAGATTAATGTTAGATCTTTAAATGTTAGATCACCACACCGGTGGAAACAAAAATTTCTCACCATGAAAATTTAAAATATTTTACTGAGAATGCTGTATGGTATTGGCTGAGATAGATGGGAAGGTTTAAAAACACACTGGTGAAACTTGCTTAATTTTTAAAGTAAGCATGGACAGAGGTTTAAGCTGATTTGAAATTAAACCAAACAGCATTTGATTGAGAGGCATATTAATTTAACCTTCCTTGGCATCTGAACTAGAGTCACAAGTCTTTAATCTGCGAGGCCAAAGATACTTTTTGCAATGTTGAAGTGGAGGAATAGATACAAGGCTGTAATTCAAACTGATGTGGTTAAAACTGATTACAAGAAATAATCCTACAAAATGTTTTAAATTATTTTTAATAGAAGCAGAAACAAAAATGTTACAAGATAAAAAGAAAAGCTGTTTCCCCCTCCCCAACCTGCAGAGCTGTTTGCTATTTTGTATAGTCTGCTAAAATAGTTTTTGCTATGTTAGTTGAGATCCCAACTAACAGAGACTGAAGTGGGGTTGCACTTCTGAAAGGGTTTGGAATTATGCTTTTAAAATACAACATAGCACAACACAGATGTTTAGTTTTTTGTCTACATCAATCTTTTTAAGTATGGAAGGACACAACTCACTTGCTCCTTTGCTGCACAAAGCGGCAGTTTAAAGTACTCTGCTACAGTTAAATATCTGACTATTCTACTTATCTTTGAACCATGTACAAATAATTTATTCAAAGGACTTTTTAGCCTAGTGAAAAGAATTTAGTATATTGCAGAATTCAGTCGATACGCACACATTCCGGTAGAGAGAAATTCCCTGGGAATTGGGCTCCAGCACAAATCTGAAGACTAAACCTCTGGGCCTGGTGAACCAGGATTGGATCCTGAAACATTATCCTGGGACATGTATATTTGCCTTCATTCATGAGAATTGGTATATAAATATAGTAGACAAATTTCACAGATTCCTTTAATGTGTTCCCATTTTTACAGTGATTCATTTCAGGTTGCAATGTAATAATAGATGTATTCACATATTACTCAAATCATGTGGTTAAATAGAATTGGGTCTAAGTAAAACTAAAATAATAAATCAGTTTCAGTCCAATGCCACTAGAATGTTTTCAGTTCTATTACAGATCTGAATGGAGATGATAATAGCTTACTACTTTGGGTTCACACATTCCACAAAACCACGATTTGAATTTATCGTGGTTATAAAACATCTTGTGGCTGGGTTTGCAATCAAAGTGACAATCAAACAAGTTGTTTGCTTGTAAGTTATTGCTTAAATCTGTCAGCCTGAACCCTGTCTGGATTTTTACACATTCTTCTATAACACAAATATTTTTATTTTGTGTATCGCATTTACCACCATTTCATTTTTTGCAGATCTGCACTCATGAATTGGTTTTCTGTTGTGGCAAAAAATTATTGGAAGGCCACCTTTGTATTGTGGAATAGCAATGCTGCATTGGCTCATTATCTACCCTGTTTGAGAAGATCTTTGCATAGTGAGTGTACCCTGAAAAGGTTACTCCTTTATTACGGAGGTTGGGGTGATGAGATGTAAAAGAGGCAGGCATAATTTAACTTGCATGCAACTGTTAAAAATGGAATTTTGTGTCTGGACTGAAGATTCACAGAATTTGGTTTGCTTTCCATTTTAAGTGAATGGACCAAATTCTGTTTTCTTTATTAAAGTTCCAGCTGTAATCATCACAGAGTGTATGCCTTTTGAGCAACATTTGCTAATCAGGAAAGTTGCTACCAGACTCCTGCTTTTCACAAACATTTCTTTCAATTTTACCCACCTCCTGATGAAAACATATTGATAAGACATCAATCAGTTCAATAAAGAATAAAATATATAATATTAAGCCAAATTAAGCCATGCAAAATCATTATGTATATTTGTAGTTAAGTCACAGAGTAAAACTGAGAGAGGGCAAAAAGAAATGCCATTATCTTAATTCTAGATTTTCAAATGAAAAATAAACAATTTTATAGACTCTGTGGATTATAAGGGCTTCAGGCTATCATGAAAATGCCTCTGTTTTTGAAAGAAATGATGATTTGTGGATTTAAAGATTGAAGAAAGATGTGATTAAATTAGGGGCCGAAGGGATTTGTATGATATCTAAGAGGGAGTGGGGATAATAAGATTGTAATTGTTAAAAAGATTTAAGTTATTCATATATTCTAAACAAATTCTTTCCTTTTCTCTTTTTAATTCCTTGCATTTCTTTTTTCATTCTATGTAAACATTCTTAAATAACTTTAAAAAAAAGAAAATATTTCTGTTTTAAACTCAATTTAGTGATATCTGGATGGTTTGATACTATTTTGTGGGTTTTGTTTTGTCAGCTATTGTTTCTTCTTTGGGTTGTATTTTGTATGTTTTAACAGTGACCTATATTGTGCTTCTTTATTTTTAAACTTTGTTCTAACAAGAATGACTATAGCCAGATGGGTAGTCATATAAATCTAAACAAATAATCTCTGATCTTTGGAATAAGTAGACAATCATTTTCTGTAGATAGTAGAGGTTAGAGATTTTCTAACTGATTGTTATAACAGAAACCTAATGAAAATAAAGTGGCTTATATCTCCCCTATAATGCAGCAGATGGAGATATTATACAATATTACACAATAATACCCACTTTTCATAAAATATTTGTCTAATATAAAAAACTATGTCTCAGTCTAGGGTTTCTGTTTTAATTATTATACCAGGAAGGTGTATTTATCTTACTCAACGAGGAAAAATCACACCTTAAGGACCCATCTCTGATTCTCTATTCAAATTGTACATTTGCCTGATTCGTTCACATTGTAAGAAATAGGACTTAAATATGTAATTTTTGAATTACAAGTTTTAAAATAATTTTGAATTGCTCTTAAAATAATGACAAAAAAGGAACAAAACACAAACACATGCACAGTAAAAAACCTCTATAAGTGCTTAAACATGAGTGAAAAAATACAACAGAAAAAATGTAAAATGTAACACAATAAACAGTTACAATTCTATCTATAATTATTTAATGTAAATATTATGCAATTTCATTTCCAATGTTTATGTAACTATTTTTTAACCTACTATATTTTGTATAAATGAGTTTCATTATATTTATCCATGCTTTTTGAAGTAGGATTGTGATTTTTACTGACCAGAATTATTTTATGGGCTTACATAAATCATGGATCATAATTTATGTAGCCCTATATTCTGTATATTATGTAGCCATAGGAGTCAGTTTTAGCTACAGCTAACATGTTGATGTGCTGGAAAAAACAATGGTTATGTCCTTATTTCCATCCTTAAATAGTTTGAGTACTTTTTAGGACCCATAAAACCATTTTTAAGATTATTGTTGGAAGGTATATAATTGATCAAGTTAATATAAGCCTTATATTTTCATCCGATATAATATCTGGTATTGTAATTTGTGCTTTAATAACCTGAGAATAAGGCACACCTGTCAGCTGCAAGGCTTGGTCCAGAATCTTAGGGAACCATTCTTGTTTGAACCAGCCTTTCATCTTAATGTTTTTATTTAAAAATTCCTTCAGCTTGAAATATTAAATTTCAGACACACTGTAAGATAGAATTGAAACCTGAACTGTTTCTTCTGGGAATTATTAAAGGAAATTACCCTAAAAGGATTAAATATTTAATTATTCATATAACTACAGCAGCAAGAATTGTACTCACGCAACCTGGAAAATATCTACTATACCAACAGACTGTGCAATAATCCGGAAAATTTTCAAATGTGCAGAAATGGACAAACTTACTTTAGAATTAAATAATAAGGAAGACTCGGAATACTACTTAACTTGGGAAAATTGGTATCAATGGATAGAAATTAAAAATAAGGAATGTATAGAATAAAATAAGATACAAAATGTGTTTAAATATGTTGATTAAGTAGGACTATGCAGGAATAGATGAGCAAAGTTAAGAATTACGTACTGTCAGAAAGACTTTGAATTGTATAATTATTAGGGATGTATTTTTGTTATAGATGTATTTTAACTTGTATTTTTGGATTTTAAATGTTAATAAAGGTTTATATAAAAAAAATATTTCAGGTTAGTATTAAGAGAAAACGAAATCAATTTCTGTTTGTCCAATATGTCATTTGTGTGTGGGGGTATGGGGGTGTTTCTGCCTAACTCTAAACATGTCTACTTTATATTTATCACAATTAAATGTTACCATATTATTCTGGAAATAACATCTAAGCCCTGTCTGGGCATAAGAAAATAAAACCCTATCAATTGCATGTCATAAACGTGACATTTTGCTTCATTAAGTGGATGAAAGAAAGAAATGCAGGTTAGTTCATTCTTGAATCATTAATAATGAGCAGTTAAATATATTTTATTTTAGATGGTGACTTCAACATTCATCCCTTGGTAAAAGAAGCTATGGAGAGTAGAAAACCAGTTGTTGCCTTGGAAAGCACCATAGTCACACATGGCATGCCATATCCACAGAATCTGAGGTGGGCTACTTCAAGCTTTTATCTGATGCTTCAATTCATATTAGGTGGATGGGCTTTCTAGATAATCTTGGACATTCTCCTACTTGCACCTAGCCAAGTAAAAACATGCTCTGGAAATTTTTCTTTTTCTGCTATGTTCTCTAGGACAGGGGTCCCCAACCCCCAGTTTGTGGACTGGCACTGGGCTGCGGTATGCCAGAAACCAGGCAACATAAACAAGCAAAGCCCCATCCTTGGGATGAAGGCAGCACATGAAACCATGCTCCCTCCAGTCTGTGGAAAACCTCTCTCCACAGAACCAGTCCCTGGTGCCCAAAATGGTGGGGGGCTGTTATTCTAAGAATATATATATATATGTAAGTTTTGTAAAATCCAATCAGAGCACAGCCAAGCCCCCAACCAATCAGAACACACCTCCACCCAATCAGAACACAGCCAAGCTCCCACCCAATTAGCTCACACCCCCACTGGCAGTTAAAAGGAAGAAACAGCTGCAATCACACATTGCTCCTAGAAGCACGAAGTTGAAAACACCAGCGTGAAGATGACGAATGAGACTTTGTCGAAACGTCACCAAGACACTTCCAATTTTACGCAGGAGAAAACCCGAATAACCAAAGACCTACATACAAACACACGCGAAAACCTCAGAAAACATTATATATATATATATATATATATATATATAATATTTGTTATATATAAGTTATATATTTATATTTATAGTTTATAGTTATAGTTCGAATCCCTAGTACCGCATAATGGGGTGAGCTCCCATTACTTGTCCCAGCTTCTGCCAACCTAGCAGTTCAAAAGCACATAAAAAATGCAAGTAGAAAAATAGGGACCACCTTTGGTGGGAAGGTAACAGCGTTCCGTGCGCCTTTGGCGTTTAGTCATGCCGGCCACATGACCACGGAGATGTCTTCTGACAGTTCCGGCTCTTCGGCTTTGAAACGGAGATCTGCACCACCCCCTAGAGTCAGGAACGACTAGCACATATGTGCGAGGGGAACCTTTACTGTTACCTTTATAATTACTTATTGACAGTTTCAAGTTGATGCAGACATGTGTCCTCTTCCCACAAGCCCTGTGAGAAACTGGGGAGCAGGTGGAGGGGAGAAATTCAGTTGGAGTATGAAAAAAAAAGCACAGTCCAGATATGGGGGCCCTGGAAATAAAGAGTTTCAAAGAGACCCCATTTTTATTGGGTTCCTATAGATTTGCCTCAGTTGTATTTTTAATAGTTTTCAAGATTAATTTTTTTATCCAAGGCTAGCATTAAGGACACCTTTCTAAAATCTTGTGTTGGAATCTGCCAGTTCAATACATGTAGTTCTCAAATTATTACTGTAATTGAGCCCAGTATTACAGTAATAAGTCATTACAGTCATAAGTCAAGGTACCCATGTGACTGGAAGTAATTTTCTAGCCCTTTTTCGTGGCGGACATTAACTGAACATTATGTTAATTAAGCAAATTCAAATCACTAATAACAGTCATCTGAACAAAGAAAGCCATGACAAGTCGTAGAGCTGACCAGCCTGACATGCTGTCATATGACCATGGAGGAGCAACATAACCATTTACAATGGCCAGGGGTGCTTTGGCTTCCATAACTTCAAACAGTCATCAAAAGACTAAGGACTACCCATAGTAAGGCAGATGTCAACCTTACAGGACTGGCCATTTTGAGCTCCATCTCCTTTTGTCAAAATCGCACTGCAAGCTCTACTTTTTCTGGATATGTGAATGATACAATGCATGTACAAAAGGGATGGCATATGAGACTGATTACCTGATCTTCCCCCAACATAACTTATAGTTTTAGCACAGGACTCAAAGAGGGTAACAGTAGAATGACAGAATCAGACCTCTCCCCAAGAGCCGTGGTGGCACAGTGGTTAGAATGCAGAATGCAGTCTATGTCTGCTGACTGCCGGTTGCTTGCAGTTTGGCAGTTCAATTCTCACCGGCTCAAGGTTGACTCAGACTTCCATCCTTCCAAAGTCAGTAAAATGAGGACCCAGACTGTTGGGGGTAATATGCTGACTCTATAAACTGTTTAGAGAGGCCTGTAAAGCACTGTGAAGTGATATATAAGTCTAAGTGCTATTGTTATTGCAATTATCTCTCAAACAGGGAGCATAGATGGATCTGAAAGTTATCATTTGTCGTTGTTATATAAAGAAAAGAGAGAAAGCAGAGAGAAATCCTAAATAACAGTTGTCTGTGACTCAGCCAGCTTTGTGATGCTGATCTTTTCTATTTTTTACTTTTTAGACTTTGCTCAGCTTTGTTTATAACAGAGTAAAATGTTAGAGGAAAAATACAGGAAGACATCTATAGTCAGACCTCCCTTTTCATGCTGGAGTGCTATGACTGATAGGTATTTTTCCCAGCACATAACTATCCTTGAAGCAATTTTATGAACAGAGGAGCAATTGTCCTTTCTTAACTGCAAGGAAGACTTTTTTTTTCCTTTTCGAGGTTTGCCTGTTTCAAGTCACTGCAACCACTCGGTTGTGCTTTCGCCAATAAACTATGTTAACTGAAAGCTAACCAGTCCTTTGTATGTTTTATAAGGGACCAGATGCTAACAGTGTAACATTTATGCAAGCAGTACTAACTAGGAAGGCGGGAATGACGTCATGTGTTAACTTAAATATTTTGGTTTTTACCCGCTTCATTTTTCTTTCACTGTCTGTGTTGCCATATATTGAATTTTCCAGCATGGCCAGAGAAGTGGAAGAAATTGTCAGAACAAATGGGTGTGTGCCAGCAACTATTGGCATATTGAATGGCCACATCCATGTGGGCCTCCAAGATGAAGAACTGGACTTTCTTGCAACAGCCAAGGACGTAATGAAGGTCTCTCGCAGAGACTTCCCCTATGTTCTCAGCCAGGTACTTGATGGAATTCCTCATTCTATTTTGCTTGTGTTACATAAATCAGGGATAAGGGTCAGTTGGTGGAAGTTTTCCTGTGAGTGAATCTGCAAAACCAGTTCTCAAACAGCTGAGTGAATGTTTTTTGACAGGAGATTAGGATTAAGCAAAATTAACTCCAATTGGCAGCTAGAGTTTGGTGAAGTTTCCTTAGACCTTTGAAACTTTGGAGATGCTATTTCCAAACAAATATTCGTCATTTCACGTTGAGATACACTTGAATTTCATTTATGGACTTTGCTACTCTCTGCTGCTTAGGGAAACTAATTATCTGAAGTGCAATCAGACACAGACAAGCCATAATGTCTACAGAAAAGTTGAAAATAATCAGTAGAATTTGTTTCTTAGTTTAGAGTGGTCTCTGTCTACAAAGAGATTGAAGTCTCTTTTATACCATAAGCCAGATTGATTTTTTTAGTTGTTTTGTGACCAGACATCTTGGCATTTTTTTGTAAATAGGTAAGCCACTTATAGAAGCTATTTGATGACATGCTTTATGAATGTGCTCTCAACATTCAAGATGTATCCACCAGCCCCAAACTGTTCCATCCTTCTTACATTCAGCATAGCGTTTTCAAAGAGTGCCTTCATTTTCTAGGGAATCTAAGCAGCCCAAGAGCAAGCTTTTCACACTGGAGTCAGCAACATTGGCATTGCCACCCTGATTTTCATCCAGCCTATAAAAAGGAGGCAAAAGGCTGTTTGACTCCATGTGAGTATGAAAAGGAACAGTAGTTCTCAGTCTATTTGTTTTGTTTATGCTTGGAAGTTAGCACACATCCGGTAACCTCATGTTTGGTTTTCAATTCATAGAGTCACAATACCTTAAAAGTTGGAGAAAGGGCTCAGATACCCATTCAGCATCTTGAATCTGACTGGCGATGAAGGAGTTCTTTTCACTGCTGAGTAGTTCTTACTATTCAGAAGTTTCTCCTAATGTTCCACCAGACAGGGCTTTTTCTGCAAATATTATTTATAAATTTTAATCTCAGTGTCCAAGGCAACAGAGAACATGTCATTTGTACAAGAGCTCTTCAAATATTTGAAGTCTTCATTATGACACCCTGTAATTTTTCCTCAGCTATTCCTCCCACACTACTTATTATCAGCGTTGCCTGAATGTCTAGGAGAAAAACATTTGGGAATAAAGGAAGGTCCTGGTTATCAAAGATAATGCCATAAGCCAAATACGAAGTATTGGGGTTTTAAAATGCATTATTTTAAAAAAAAGGGAGCTGGGCTGCTTTTTGAGGAAGAATAAGATGTTTCACTTCTTCCTCAAAAAACAGTCCAGTTGCCTTTTTAAATAAAGCACTTTTGAGACAACTATGACTGAAAATCTCTATAGATGTGTTGGAGTTCAACTGAATTTTCAGACTGAATTGGCATACGATTGATTCACACATTGCACTAAACCATAATCTTATATTTTTCTCTTCAGAAGAATATAGGAATCTAATATTTTAGCTTAGCATTGTAGGTGAAAGCCATTATGGATTGTTCAACAAATCATGATTTTAAAAATTCCCAGCTTAACTTTATCTATGAAAACATTTCAGCCTTTCACACATATCACTTATTGTTTATTTGAAAAATATGAAAATCTGAATAATTATTGATTGTTCCATGACAGGGATTGTCTGGGGGAACTACTGTGGCGGGAACCATGATTGTGGCACACAAAGCAAGAATTCCAGTATTTGTAACTGGAGGAATTGGAGGGGTCCACCGGGGAGGAGAAAAGAGTAAGACAAACATCATTTTAATTACAAATCAAACCCTTAATTCCCAAACGTTGTGTTACAAAACCATCTACCTTTTTGTTATCTCCTATTGACGGAGCCCTAATAGGGACTCGATACTTATTTGTTGTTGTGCTGTTTCAGCATATATTCTCCTCTACAGCCGACTAAGTAACTGATACAAAGTAAATACATAAAGAGAAATAAACTTCATTTGTTCAAAATATTTAACATAGTTTTCCTTTGTTCGTATTTCTGTGTAATGCATTTTTTTCACTGAGCCTTGCATATAATATTTATAAAGATTTCCAGTTATGGGTTCTCAAATAATGGATGCTAAAAAAGACTTCTGACCGAGCAGGGGGGAAAAATCCATTTCTACCTAAGAACCAAACTAAACAATGTATCAGATTTATTACATGTAAAGAGTGCAGTAAATTTATTATTAATGCATTTATTTTTCAAAAACTGCTGTTTTCGGGAATGTCAGGAATCGGCAAAGGAGATGAAGATGCAAATCTACTGTGATGGAAATTCTAATGGGAATCGGCCCCATGCTGATTAGTTTTATGACCGGGCCTGCAGTTGTACAAAATTCCTGTATCTCTGTTGATTCCATAGATGGGGAACTTCGTTTTAAGATTTTTTATTCTGTCTGAAATTGACAATCCATTTAGAATAGAAGAGAACAAGCATCTTGAGCATTTGACCATTGTTCTCAGTCCAAGAAGAGGCAGCCTGTTTTGCTGATGGACTTTTTGCTGCACTGACTTTTCAGCAACTCTTTTTAGTAGAGTAACAGAGTTAGAGGTCTTCTAGTCCAACTCCCTGGTCAAGCAGAAAACTCTATACCATTTCAGACAAATGGTTGTCCAATCTCTTCTTAAAAACCGCCAGTGTTGTAGCACCCACAACTTCTGGAAGCAAGTCATTCCACGATTAATTGTTCTAACTGTCAAGAAATTTCTCCTTAGTTCTAGGTTGGTTCTCTTCTTGATTAGTGTCCATCCATTGCTTCTTGTCCTGCCCTGTTCTGTCCCCGTCTCACACACGCACACAAACAGTCAGCCCGGAGTTAATAAAACCAGCAGTCAGGAATTCCTTTGAGATAACAGAATTGGCAGCAACCCAGTAGCTGCCTGCCAAAGACTTTACTCACAAAGGGAGGTTTTTCTCCTCCATCCGATACACCAAAATAAGTCCACAAAGCCAAAGAATTGTCAAGTTCAGTCCATAATAAATCCAAGGAGGGCATATAACGAAGTTCCAGAAACACAGTATGACTTGCTAGCTTTTCAGTTTTGTCCGTCACAAGGCCTGAATGGCCACCACACCCCCTTTTATCCCCTGTGGGGTGTGGTCCAGTGACTCAGCTTAATCTCTGGCATGCCTCTTTCTCTGCTGCGCGCGCTTATCTTTCCGACGCTGTCGGGGATCCAGCCAAGACTCATCTCTGTCGCTGTCTAACTGCGGCTGCTCGGAAGTGCCTGGCTCCTGGCCTATCTCTTGGCCTTTGGAGGACACCTGAGGCATTGCCAGAGAGGAGGGTCCTGGAGAGGGAGGACTTGCCAACTCCTCTTCTTCACTTTCGAAGTCTTCTCCCTCTGATAATGCGGGCTCGGGGGTCGGAGTCACAACATGCCCTCAGGTGCTTTGGAAAACAGGTGGTCTTCTTTGTGACAGCCCCTTAAATATTGGAACTCTGCTATCATGTCATTTCCAATCCTTCTTTTCATTCTTTTCAACTCTTGTCAATAGAGTAGAAATCGTGTCAAGTCCTGCAAAGATGTCAAACTCAGGGTAAAAGAACCTCTTGATGTAAGGAAGGATCTTTATTGTTAAGAGGGTAATGTAACAGAATCTTGAAAACCTGTCAAAGCAATTCTGTCATTCAACTAGACTGAGTTGCTCCAAATCTCTTTCTCATTTTTCCTCTCTTTATTGGATTACTATGTCTCTTTGCTCCACCAGTTTCCTGATAAAAAAAAAAACCATAACGGATAGCACTTAATAATTTATTCTGTGTCCCTCCATGTCTGTCTCTTTGCCTGCTGTTTGTCTAAGAATTGCTAATTTGAGGTAATTTCCTTCTGTGTTTTTTCTCAAGCACACATGAACAAATACATGCTCCTTCAATCTTCTCCTGGTAGGATAGAATCACCTAAGTGCTAAACTATGCCTACCCAAATAGTGTATTTCTTACAGCTAAATATTCTGTTTCCCCAAAAATAAGACATCCCCTGATAATAAGCCCAATGAGGCTTTTAAGCGCATGCGCTAAAATAACCCCCCCCCCGAAAATAAGCCGTCCCCAAAAATATTTAAACGCAGACCTGGAAATCAGATAAGACGGCAAGAGGAGCTTCATCTTGCTCCCCACATCCCAAAATAAAAAAATCTCTCCAAAAATAAGGCCAAGCGCTTATCGGGGTTCAAAAGAATATAAGACAGGATCTTATTTTCAGGAAACACGGTAGTTATAAAACCTGATTCATTATTTTATGCCTTCTGCCACCAATAGCCTCCCACCAGCCAGTTTGCTCCCACAGAGAGGACCTCCTCAGGGTGCCGTCAGCCAGACAATGCCGGCTGGCGACCCCCAGGAGGGGAGCCTTCTCTGTGGTGGCACCTACCCTTTGGAACAATCTACCCCCAGAGATACGAGTGATCTCCGACCTCCGGACTTTTCATCGGGCCCTAAAAACTTTTTTTTTTCAGTTAGCCTGTCTGTCCTGATTTTATGGTTGTTTTAAAATTTGATACGGATTTTAAATTGATAAGTTTTAAATTACGGGCCAAATTTATTTAATTATTTTAAATCTATTTTTAACTTTATGTATAAATGTTTTTATTTTGGCTGTTCACCGCCCAGAGTCCGAAAGGAGAAGGGCGGTATAGAAGTTTGAATAATAAATAAATAAATTATTTTCTGTTATGACCAAATTCTTTCTTTCTTTATTTTATTTTATTATTCATATTTCTATGCCGTCCACTCTCCAAGGACTCTGGGTGGCTTACATCAAAGACAGTATACTAAATAGCATATTGCCCCCAAAATCTGGGTCCTCATTTTACCCACTTCGGAAAGATGGAAGGCTGAGTCAACCTTGAGCCGGTGAGATTTGATCCGCTGATCTGCTGAACTAGCAGTCAGCTGAAGTAGCTGCAGTACTGCACTCTAACCACTGCGCCACCTTGGCCTTCTTACTGTAAGAAACACTCACAGGCATACATAGAACATTTCAGCCATCTCTACAGGTAGTCCTCAACTTACAACAGTTTGTTTAGTAACCATTCAAAGTTACAATGGCACTGAAAAAAGTGACTTATGATTGTTTTTCACAGTTATGACCTTTGCAGCATCTCCATGGTCATATGATCAAAATTCAGATGCTTGACAATTGATTCACATTTTTGACGGTTGCAGTGTCCCAGGGTCATGTGATCACCTTTTGCGAACTTCTAACAAGCAAAATCAATGAGGAAACCAGAATCACGTATGAACCAGGTTACTAACTTATCAACTAAAGCGATTCACTTAATAACTGAGGCAAGAGAGTTCGTAAAATGGGGCAAAACTCATTTAACAAATGTCTCACTTAACAACAAAAATTTGGGGCTCCAATGTGGTCATAAGTCAAGGACTACATGTATTTTTCTTTCTAGTTTGTCAGAAGAAAATAGAAATTGTCTTTGTAACAATTATTTCTTGTCAGTTCTACTCAGAGTTATTTTACACAGGAGAAGAGTTGCAAGAAAGAGAAGAGTCAAAGCAGCTTGGATTATTCTAGAATGCATTTTGTACCAGAATCAGGACTAGAAAAATAGAAATACCTTAAAACATTTGTGCAATACCATTTTAACCAAATTTTAGTTATTCTACTGCCTTCCAGGTTTGTTATACCTGGATATCTCCCAGTATATCTCCCAGAATTTTCAATTACATTATCTATACCAAAGAAGACCATATTACTTCATTTTCTAATTAGTTGAAAATATTGTCTTTCCCAAAATTGGTACGTTGCACGTTTCCAAAAGCCAATTCTTGATGTCTGGAAAAATAGCACTTTTCCAAGTCTCTCAGAAAAATTCTTTTTACAAACTTCTGTGTTTGGTGCAACTTCCAAAGCAGTCAGATTGGAAAGTTTATTGTAATTCAATATTATATTAACATATTTCAACATTTAGGCATCTGTGTCCTGTTACATCACCTTTGAGAAAAAGGTAGTGCAAGCTGATGTGACCAGAATGAGCATTAAATTTTCCTCAATAGTTTTGATATCATTTTTCTTTGAAAAGAAGAAAACATCAATTTATTAAAAAGAAAGATGTGTATCAAGAGAAATGTTGCTCTTCTTCATTTATCGATGGATGCTTTTGAATTGTTCATTGATCACTTCTGGTTGATCTGCCGTCCTTCAAGAATACTCTCATGTTTTCATTTCATTCAGAGTTGTGCAGCCCTTTACTCCTCAATTTCTCCATCTCCTCTGGTATTTGTTCTTTCTCTATAATCCTGGAGACATGCATTTCTCTGCTCCTTTGTCTTTTCCTCTTTCCACTTTCTGTATCTGTTGTCATTCTGGAGCATGCATGCGTCTTCTCCTCTGTTTTCCCTTCTCTATGTTATTTGTCCTGACTTTGATCCTGGAGTCATGTAGCCCTGATTTCATCTAATTCTTGTTTTCTCCTCCTTGCCACTTCACAAGAACGTTGGTGTCATCTCTTGACCGTGACATCCCACCCACCTTTCTATGGACTATAATTAGGCTTACAGGAATTGGGCATGGCTGGTCTAGTGAAGAGAAGGATCAGGGGAGACATGATAGCAGTGTTCCAATATTTGAGGGCCTGTCACAGAGAGGAAGGGATCAAGCTATTTTCCAAGGAAACCAAAGGCCGTGCAAAGAATAATGGATGGAAACTGACCCAGGAGAGATTCAACCTAAGAAATAAGTAGAAAATTTCTGACAGTGAGAACAATCAACCAATGGAACAGCTTGCCTTTGGAAGTTGTGGGAGCTTCATCACTGGAGGCTTTCAAGAAAAGATTGGACTGCCATTTGTCAGAAATGGTGTAGGGTCTCCTGCTTGAGTGGGGGGTTGGACTAGATGACCTATAAGGTTCCTTCCAACTCTGTTAATCTGTTATCTGACCATTTTTTAAATCCCAATGCTGGACAATCCTATCACCATCTAAGAAGACTACATACAATAATTGCAGTGGCAAACAAACCTGAGTAATAAGTCAATATTTCCTTACCTAAATTGACGGGGTTGGGCAAAAAAGCAGTAGAAGCAGTAACTTTCTGCTGGCTTCCTCATTGACTTTACTCATGGGCAACTGGCAAGAAGCATTAGAAATCATGATCTCATGCAATAGGGGTGCTGCAACAGTCACAACTTTGTGATTAAACTGGTCTAGTTATCCTGGAAATTTCAATTCCATTGGAGTAATGGATCCCATATTTTTTTATGCATTATTTAAGCCAGCAGCTTTTAGATACCTTGATTCAAAAACTATTACAGTATAATGTACCATTTGGGTTAAGTTACGAATAGATAAACACAATCAGAATTTTAGCGATAGGTATATCAATCCCCAAAAGGCACCCTCTTATTTTGTTTTCTTTGAGTTGTTGAGCTTGACATTTTCAAGCCCAGACCATTTTACCTTCCTTTTAATAGTAACAGAGTTGGAAGGGACCTTGGAAGTCATCGAGTCTAACCCCTTGCTCACGCAGGAGACCTGTACTAGGGACTCGAACTGCCAAACTGCCGACCTTTCTGATCGACAAGCTCTGTGTCTTAGCCACTGAGCCACCATTTTCACCCTGTTTGTAGTACAAAGTATTATTTAATCCTTGAGAGGGCACATTGGCTCACAATGTGGACCATTAACTGTTTTTCAATTTTTTATTGTGTTTTTTTGGAAGTTTTCAATGTTGGCATCCCAGGCCAGTGCCTATTCAATCTTATCCTGGAGTGAGTTCTGACCAGGGGAGATGGATCATTAATAGCATAAGGCAACTTCATATGGAAGGATGAATGGATTCCTTCCATTCCCAAACATTTAGTTAGAACGAAAGAAGCTTCTTGGATGAGAAGCGAAATGTTTTCAAGTAAAAAAAAAAAAGTTAAATTGCCTTTTGGAAAAGTACCTTTGGGGCAATGTCATATGTTATTTCATTATAGGATTTTAATATTTTTCTCCTGAGAAGCATGAAAGAAGTTGGGTAATATGTGAGAGGTTCCTCCAGAATTTGTACTGATATTTTATCTTTTTCAGCTTTGGATGTGAGTGCTGATCTGACTGAGTTAAGTCGTACTCCAGTTGCTGTAATTTCTGCAGGTGTTAAGTCTATACTTGATATTGGCAGAACACTGGAGTATCTGGTAAGCTATAAAATTATAAAATTTCTACATACTTATTGGCTCAATGTCTCAAAATGTCAGGCCTTGGTATGCTAAGAAGTGGGATCTTTGCCCGTTTGAAGGAGAGATGGAAGGGATCTGTGGGTAATTGGAGTTTAGATATATTTTAAATGCTGGGAATGCTGGACGGTACTTTTTCTGTGGCAACTTCTGATTGTGGAATCCTCTTGTTTAGTTTTAGAAGATTGTCAAACATTTTTGCTGAATGATCTTAAGCAATTTACAAGTCTGTGTTTTTAAATTAGATGTTTCCCTATTTTATTTGTTTAATTTGATATTTTATTGATCTTCATTGGTAATACTTTGGCTTTAAAGGGGACAAATAAATACTGTTACTAAAATAATGTATTAAAGGATCAAAATAAAATCAATATCCCTGTATTTCCTAGCAGCTAGAGATGCAATTAAAATTGTTTGCATGCAGCTGGTTTACGAAATGATTTGGTTACGGGAACTGTTCCAGAATGCAGTGTTTAGGCCATTGGCATATTAATCCCATCATTGCAGGATACGTATTAATTCTGAAGTTTTTGAATTGGTTGCCAAGACACGTCTGGCCTAACTGAAAATGCTTGCTATTACTTGCGAGGCCTTTCACTGTATAGCTCCAAGATATATCAGGCATCTGGATCAGTGGTGGGTTTCAAAAATTTTTACTACCAGTTCTGTGGGTGTGGCTTGGTGGGTGTGGCTTGGTGGGCATGGGGAAGGATACTGTAAAATCTCCATTCCCTCCCCAATCCAGGGGAAGGTTACTGCAAAATCCCCATTTCCTCCCAATCAGCTGGGACTCGGGGGTCAGAGAATAGATGGGGATGGGGCCAGTCAGAATTTTTACTACCGGTTCTCCGAACTACTCAAATTTTCTGCTACCGGTTTTCCAGAACTGGTCAGAACCTGCTGAAACCCACCTCTGATCTGGATCTATGGAATCCCAGGGAGCAGGGGAGATATGTTCTATGTCTCATGTAATTGAACTAAATAATAAATACAGTACACTGCAGTTCAATCACATTGTAATTTCTAGCCCACAATAAACAATGTTGTGCACATAATAGAAGTAATCCTCCCAACATTAAGAGATTGTTATCCAATTTTTAAAAGAAGAAACCTCCACTGGGTCTGAGCTTTTCCTTCTACATGGCATTTTGTCTTTTCAATCCATCTTTCTTGTCTTACCTCTGTAGGAAACTCAAGGAGTCTGTGTGGCCACCTTTGGAAAATCAAGAGAATTCCCAGCCTTCTTCTCTCACCGAAGTGGCTTCCAGGCACCATATCAGGTGCAGGATGAGAAAGCTGCTGCTCAACTGATTGGTGAGCTATTAGTAAGAATAAGATGCATCTTGGATGAGTGGAATCTGGATGGAATCTTTAGCTGAGAAGTTTTTCAATTTCTCTGTTAAAAACTGCCAGGCTTTACATGCCTAGTGGAAGTCAAAAGCTCACTGATGTCAAGAAGGTTTTCTTCTACATTAGTACATGTAGCATTAAGTTAAAGACATCCCAAAATTCCCCTTTCTATCTTCAGCAGTTTTCTCTCTCTTTCTCCTTGACGTCTTCTGCTCTATCCTTCTACAGGCTTCAAATCCTATACCCACAACTGCCATTTTTCAGCAATTCCCGAGGCCCAATTTGTACATGCCACAAAATTAAGTGCTAAAGATTTTTCTGAACTATACCACACTATTGCAGTGGAAGTTGACATGTTGACTGCTGTCCCTGTCCCCCCCCCAACCAAAACCCATCCAATGCCCACCACCAAAAACCCACTGAAGATGGGTCCAGTTGACTTCTTGTTTTACTGATTTTCAATATGCATTTTGTTTCTGATGCAGGTATTGAAGCATACAAATTCCTATATGAAATCTTAAGTACTATAGAACATGTAGAGCATGTTGATTCTACTGAACTGCAGCCTTTGAACACTCAGTTACTGCATGTGATGTCTTTCTACAGACATCAAGGTCTCTTGCATCTACTGCTTTTATCTTTGCAGTTCTCTAACCCAGGGGTCACCAACCTTTTGGACCTCAGGGACCACTAAATTCATAATTTTAAATCTTGTGGACCATTAATATGATCTGCCTAACAACCGGCTGGGTGGGCGTGGCTAGGTGGTCATGTGACTGGTTGGGTATGGCCAACTCAATGTCACTCATGTCAAGGGATGCCTTGCCAACCTCTAATTGTCCCTTCCCTCCCAGTGACTCCTCGCCTGCCCGCCTGGGCTCATTAGGGCCCCAACAGGAAGCAGTTGTTGGAGCTAAGCAGCTGCCAGGAGAAAGAGTTGGCAAAACAGCTGGCTTAGTTCAAATTGGATCTGGCTGAGAAGGGGGCTCAGCAGAAGCACCTCACTGAGGACTACGAGCATAGTCTTTCCAAGCAGAGGGAAGACCGGCCAGGTACTGCCAGGCTGCCAGGTACCAAGAGGCTGAAGCAGACCCCGAGTAGGAATTTCTGCTCCCCTTCGACCCACACAAAAAGACCCCGAGGGGGGAGACTCTCTGCAGCAACACAAATGTTCATTGCATGTATCCAGCCCAGGGGCCATAGTTTGAGGACCCCTAATTTAGTGCAATATAAAAAAATGCAAATCATTTTTCTGAGGACCACCAAAATTTTCTCTCAGACCATCAGTGGTCCACGGACCACCAGTTGGTGACCGCTGCTCTAACCCATTGTTAGAATGCCATTATATATTCCAATTTTATGTATTTTACAAGATCCCCATATTTATTCACTACTCCTTGTCCCAGTCAGGGCTTCTCTTTTCATTTTATTTATATTCCACCCTTCTGGTCTGGCAAAGCGGTTAATAAAGTTTAAGACAAACAGAATATTAAAAAAATAACAATACAGATTCAATTAACAAATACAATTAAAAAGATGACAAAATAAATAAGTTCAGATCTATGAGTTGGGAGGGAGTTCAGTTTTGAAGAGAATGTATTCCTTAGCACAAGAGAAATGCAGAAGAGTATTCCTTTCATGTTCCACAAAGAAGAGCCTATGACATCTTCGTTCTTTAAAAGGTCTCTCCTGGTACTCTTCACATCTGTCAGGTTTATCATGGGATAGACAATCTCTTACAGAGGGTTCTTCCCTTCTTCTGAACTCAGACACTGCTTGATTTAGTAGAAAACTAGCATGAAATTTGCTAATCCCATGGGTCATCCCCATCCTACCTCAACCTGCTGTAACTACTTGTCTTTTCCCCAAAGTAGAGAGACACAAATACATGCTGGAGATTTCCCTTTGTCCCAAAATTAAAAATTATTGATACATCTAAGGAACTTAAAGCTATCTCATTCGTTTGCCTGGAAGGTAGGAGGTGAGATGAAGGCAATTTAATAGGTGCATGACAGAAAAAACACACTGGTAAGACATATTTATGTCTTGGTTAGGTACAAGTTTGGGGGAAAATAATAGTCAGACCCTGAGTAGTTTAGAACTTTAAAATATAACACAAGAACTTTAAATAATTCCTGGTAATTAGTTTGTAGTCATTGCAGATTTTTCAGTACAGAATCCTATGATCCACTTTATCTTACACTGGTAAACACCACATTTTGTACCAACTGTACTTTCTGCAATATTTGTTTTGCACTCTTTAGTCTCTGCTGAGACTTTTTGTTCACTATTGATCTACTGCCGCATCCAACCATCACCAATATATCAGTTATGAAGATAGGCTTTATATCACTATGACTTAGTGACACTATAAAGTGTTGTAATCAGTAGTGAGAAACAATGCAGCACGACGGAGGCAGAATGGGGAGACCTATATTGTCTTCACCTTCAGCCCCAGTTCATCCTTCCTTCCTTCCTTCCTTCCTTCCTCCTTCCTTCCTTCCTTCCTTCCTTCCTTCCTTCCTTCCTTCCTTCCTTCCTTCCTACCTACCTACCTACCTACCTACCTACCTACCTACCTACCTCTATCTATCTATCTATCTATCTATCTATCTATCTATCTATCTATCTATCTATCTATCATCTATCTATCTATCTATCTATCTATCTATCTATCTATCTATCTATCTAAAACTTTTGTTCGTTGAGTTATGCATGAGACACTTTTGTGCCATGTATGTTTGTTTGCTTTTTTGTTTATTCATTCATTTTGTAGGGTTACCCATCTCAACAAATAATTCTGAATGGCTTCATATATTGTACATGGAACATTAACCATTGATTGAATTAACTTCATTTAATTGTTTAATAGCCGAGGTGGCGCAATGGTTAGAATGCAATATTTCTGCTGACTGCCTGCAATTGATTTATGTTGATTGATTATTTGGTATCCTATGACTATCACTAAGTGTTGTATCTTAATATTGTATGATGAATGTATTTTTATGATGACTATGATCATGATTTATCACTTACAGCTTTTATATACACTGAGAGCTTATGCACCGAAGACAAATTCCTTGTGTGTCCAATCACACTTGGCCAATAAAGAATTCTATTCTATATAAATTGGAATAATAATAAAATAAATAACAAATTCTATGAAGCCTATTTTCTTATCCCAGTAATTTTGCTTGCTGTGACTCAAGAATAGAGTTTGGGAGAATAGAGTGGGTATCGTAAGTTACGGTTAGGGGCTAGGCTGGATTAGGGTTGAAACTAAACTACAATACTACTATGAAGAGAGAGGAAGCACAGTACAGTGTACGTATGGAGATTGAGAGTGAAGCAGCTGACTCTTGAACATCATACTTTGAACTATATTAATATTTGTAGAACTTCCCTTCTTAGAGCACATCATAGCTATCTCTCCCGCCATTTTTAGCCTCGGTGGCGCAGTGGTTAGAGTGCAGTACTGCAGGCTACTTCTGCTGACTGCCGGCTGCTTGCAATTTGGCAGTTCGAATCTCACCAGGTTCAAGGTTGACTCAGCCTTCCATTCTTTTGAGGTTGATAAAATGAGGACCCAGATTGTTGGGGGCAATATGCTGATTCTGTAAACTGCTTAGAGAGGGTTGTAAAAGCATTGTAAAATGGTATATAAGTCTAAGTGTTATTTGCTAACAAAGGTAGGGCCATGGTCCAACAATGAAACTTTTTTTCTCAGCCAGGTCATTAACTTTGAAGCTGGGCAGTGGAGTCCTGATTGCAGTTCCCTGTCCTCCACATGAAGCTGCTTCTGGGCAGTTTATTGAAGAAGCAATCCAGCAAGCTTTGGATGAGGCTCGGTAAGGCTATTTTTTAATACATCATCAATTCACATAATAGTTTAACAGCACTGTAATAGGTGTGCAAAATCTCCTGTTCAAATCTATTCAAGCATAATACTGCTTTATAAAGCCTTAGTAAGGCCACACCTGGAATACTGTATCCAGTTTTGGTCACCATATTACAAAAAAGATGTTGAGATTTTGGAAAAAGTGCAAAGAAGAGCAACTAAGATGATTAAAGGCCTGGAGACTAAAACGTATGAAGAACGGTTGCAGGATTTGGGTTTGGTTAGTCTAGAGAAAAGAAGGACTAGGGCGGACATGATAGCAATATTCCAGTATTTAGAGAGACTGCCACAAACAAGTTTACACTTGTATCTGTTATCAAAATAAATAAAATAAAAATAAATAAACAAAGAAGAGGGGCTCAATTTATTTTCCAAAGCATCAGAGGGCAGGACAATAAACAATGGATGGAAACTAATCAAGGAGAGAAACAACTTAAAGTTTCTTTAAGGAGAAACTTCCTAACAGTGAGGACAATTAACCAGTAGAACAACTTGCCTTCAGAAGGGTTGACTGCTTCATCCCTGGAGATTTTAAAGAAGAGATTGGACAAGCACTTGTCTGAAATGGTATAAGGTCTTCTGTTTCAGTAGGGGGCTGGAGTAGGACCTCCAAGGTCCCTTCAGCTCTATTCTGATTGAAACTCATTTTGCACTATTCTGGTTGGTTGATAAGCTCATGAGATGCCTTTACATTGTATCTGTCATCATTTTTTCTCGACCCAATCTCCCAAGTGTAACATGGACTTGATCATTCTGATATTTCAAGTTAAGTATATACTGTAGTGGTTTTGTATAGGTATGGTTTTGATACTGAGTATTCAGCATCATAGCAATGTAAATTCTAGGAATATTAAATTTTAACTAAACACCAAATCTGTACAATGGAGGATTATGATTCAAAAAAGGGTCCAAAAAAAGGAAGGGGGTTGGATTGCAACATTGTGTCATCTATCCTACAAATTCAATACCCCCACCCTACCCCCATGGACACCACTGCCTCCAAGGAAGATTGTTTTTGGGTGTTTACCTTTGTACACACCTAGGAATATTTTCCAACGTCTGCAACAGAAGGCAAAGTTAACTTGTCCCAGCTTCTGCCAACCTAGCAGTTCGAAAGCATGTAAAATGCAAGTAGAAAAATAGGGACCATTTTGGTGGGAAGGTAACAGCGTTCCATGCACTTTCAGCATTTAGTCATGCCGGCCACATGACCATGGAGATGTCTTCGGACAGCGCTGGCTCTTCGGCTTTGAAACAGAGATGAGCACTGCCCCCTAGAGTCGGGAACGACTAGCACATATGTGCGAGGGGAACCTTTACCTTTATCTTAAAGCTGATAGATGGCTAAATCTTTTTCCCTGGGACATTTTCGCACAATTCAAAACTTGCCATGATTCAAAGGAAGAGACACTTGCGTTGTTTTCATTCATTGAACATTTCAGCTTCAGGGACAGGACGAACTAGGGAAATAATGCTGGGAGATCCCAGTTCAGGTTGCTTTCCCCAATATTCACCTTTTTCACAGTTTGAGCGGATGCAATCACAGATCCCCTACTGTGTTTCTTGTCAAAAATGTATCATCCTTGGGAAAGCTTTCTTCAAGGTTCCTCCCAATCAGAAGCGTTTTGATAAGGGGTTTTTCTTTTCTTTTTGCAAAAATTGCTGATTCTGTAAATGGATTAGCTGTCAATCATGCAAGGCTATGCTTGTTGTTCCACTTACAGGGGGGAAAGGATCACAGGAAAGGAGCTTACACCCTTTTTGCTGCAGAGGGTGAATGAGTTATCTGGTGGAGAGTCACTGAAGTCCAGTATCCTTTCCTATTTTATTTTATTTATTTTATTTATTTGTCAATCATGTATAAGATAACAGATATAAGTATAAACATGATTATGAATACAGGAAATGATATGAATAAATGAGGACGGTAGGATAGGGACGGCAGGCACATTGGTGCACTTATGCACGCCTCTTACAGACCTCTTAGGAATGGGGTGAAGTCAACAGTCTAAAGTTAAAGTTGTGGGGGTTTGGGAAAGTAACCACAGAGTCAGGTAGTGCATTCCAGACATTGACCAGTCTGTTACTGAAGTCGTATTTTCTGCAATAGAGTTTGTATCTATTGTGTACTTGTGTATTGTTGTGGTGAAACATTCCTTCTAATTTTATCCCTGTAACAATTACCCAGTGAGGTAGGATTCAATACCTCAATGTTCCACGTTTGGCATCCTAACTACCATACCTTGCTGACTGTACCAATTCTTGGGTTGTTACATTTTTCTTTCCTTTATCAATTGGTATCAGATATTGCATTGATCAAGAATAATGCCATAGTGGGCAGTCGCATTGCTGTAGCCCTGAACAGGCTCCAAAGAGGTCAGGGCAGGAGAGGCAGCTTGTCTCAAAATGAAAACACACCTGGTGTGCCAAGACCAGTGAGTACTTATCCCTGTTTTTCAAGAGTTTTGGTGCGTGAATGATTGGCTGAGCTGGACCATTCTAATTGTTACCACAAGAGATAGTGTCTGAATTATTTAGGTCAGGGGTATCAAACTCAATTTCATTGAGGGCCACATCAGGGCTGTGGTTGGCCTCGAGTGGTGGGGGACGGGGCTGGCTGGAGGGGTGTGGCCAACTGGGTGGGTGTTGTCAGCTTGACGCCACTCCCCAAACTGCTGGCATGTTTCCTCTTCGCATTGGGTAGACCGGGCCAAAGCCACGCTGGCCCAATGTTTCCTCTTTGCATTGGGTAGACCAGGCTGAAGTGATGTGGGACAGTCCCAGTGGTGAAATGTAAAATTTGTTGTTACCGGTTTTGTGGGTGTGGCTTGGTGGGCGTGACTTGTTGGTGGGGTCATGTGACTGGGTGGGCATGGGCAACTTTTTTTTTACTTTTTAAAAACATTTTTACTACCTATTCACTGGATCCAGTAGTTTTTATCACTACCGATTCACCCGAACCGGAGAGAAATGGTAGTATTTCACCCCTGGATGGCCCCTTACATTTTCCAGGACAGCCACATCGTGAGCTGGATGCTGCCCATGGGCCTTGTGTTTGACACCCCTGATTTAGGTCAATGTTCACTGAGTAGATGTCTTAGACAATGGATATTTCTACTGTCAACCAGCACTATTCACTGGATTATAGGCCATAGAAAAGCATAAGATCTGATAGGAAAACAATTTTAGGTAATGGGAGGCCCTGAGCAGCTAGTTGCTCTGCATTCTTGGAGCAATTTATCTGCTTATTTGAATGTTCAACTTATACTTTAAAGTGGAAAAACTGTAAAAGTCAAATCAAAGTCCAACTGGATGTTTAATAACATTTTCGCATTTCTGTTTCCTTTTCAGGTAGTCGTTGGTGGCATCAACATTGACATCATAGCCAAGGCAAAAGCTGCAACAATAAAAGTAAATTGCATTTAATAATATTCAGATTTAACATTTGGTCTGTGACTTCAGAACTTGCTAGCTTCTTTTCTGAATAAGAGGTATGCAGGCTGGACTCAAGCAATAATAGACTGTAGAGACCAGGTCAAATTCAAACTGCCTGTAGAATTGCAAGCAAGTTTGAAATGTAGCAAAGATTGCCCACAGCCAGCTTAAGCCACGAAAAAAATGTTCTCTAGAGTCTTCAGTCAACACTAAATGTGCACATTGCTGACTACCCTCATTCTGATCACCAAGGCCATCTATTCTGAAAAAAAGATGTATATAGAGGGGGTTGAGCACTTCCTCCTTATATCAACCATGAAGTTGATTGATCATATTTTCAGAGAGAACACAGAACAACAAACCAGCAATACAGCACCAGAAGTCAAAAGGTTGAGGCACTCAACTTTTGATGCAAAATCAGCCTTTTTGTTGTTAGACAAACAAAAGCAGAATGTCAGGTTCCAAGTAATGCACCAGAGGTGGTATTCGGCAGGTTCTGATCAGTTCTGGAGAACTGGTAGCGGAAATTTCGCGTAGTTCGGAGAACCGGTAGTAAAAATTCTGACTGGCCCCGCCCCCATCTATTCTCTGCTTCCCAAGTCCCAGCTGATCGGGAGGAAATGGGGATTTTAATTTAATTTAATTTAATTTAATTTAATTTAATTTATCGCATTTCTATGCCGCCCAACTCCCAAGGGACCCTGGGCAGTAATCTTCCCCTGCCATGCCCACCAAGCCATGCCCGCCAAGCCAAGCCAAGCCATGCCATGCCACGCCTGCCAAGCCACGCCCACAGAACTGGTAGTAAAAAAAAAATTAATCCCACCACTGTAATGATATCATCATAAACTGAACTCCGAGGCATTCCATTTTCTCAAAAGTGTTTTGACTGACGGCTCCATCCCCCTCCAGTTCCAAGCTGTGCCAAACTGAATTCATGCTAGGATGTCCAAGGATGCAAACAATCCCACCCCCCAATCAAATTCAGGCTTGACACATAAATCTCTATGCAACTCTAAATGCAGATTGCTCAGGATTTCAGCAATCAGTATCTGAGCCTGAATAACTAGGGGGCCATCACAAGATGAAACCTACCATGTTTTCCCCAAAATAAGACCCTGTCTTATATTTTTTGAACCCCGAAATAGGTGCTTGGCCTTATTTTCGGGGAGGTCTTATTATTTTGGGGCGCATGGAGCAAGGGGCTCCTCTTGCCATCTTACCTGATTTCCAGCTCTGCGTTTAAATATTTTCAGGGAGGGCTTATTTGGGGGGGGAGACTTATTTTAGCGCATGCGCTCAAAGGCCCAATTGGGCTTATTATCAGGGGATGTCTTATTTTTGGGGAAACAGAGTAGGTTGCAGCCTATTGGTCCATTTTATCTCCTGGCCACTCTTTATCCATTTGTTGTGATGGTGTTTCACCACTGAGATGCAGAGAGTAATTCCTGTGACTTCTGCCATCCTGGCCTCTTATGAAGAAAAACAAATGGTAGACCTGTCTTTTACAACAGATGGCAGCATTAAGTTAAACACCGCCGCATTGTAATGTATTGGGCAGGTTGATTGTGGGTTACAGATACTATTGGTTCAAAAATAATAGCTGTCCAGAAATCCCATCCAGTGGGAATATATTGCTAATACCATGAATCAAAAGCAGTGGAGATGTTTCATAGCAGATATTGCTTGCCTAAGCAATGACTTGAATAGAGATGTTTGCTTTGTTCTGTGCCTAGATGGAACATTTGGTGCCAGGTGATATAAAGACAACTTTGGGAAAAACCAACCTTTGTTGCATTTCCAACTGTCAGTGATTTATCTGACAGATGGCTCAACAGAAGAATAAAAGAAGGTGCAGTTAATGAGATTTCATTAACATGAACTAAGAAAAACCTTCCTAATGCTTAGAGACAGAAAGAAAATATACACTATGATAAATACTGTACATCCAGATGGAATGTTTTATTATACAGGTAGTACAACAGTTAATTTAGTAACCATCTGAAGTTACAATGGCTCTGAAAAACATGACAATGATTTTTCACACTTATGACCATTGCAGCATCCCCATGGTCATCTGATCAAACTTTAGACACTTGGCAACTGACTCATATTTATGATGGTTGCAATGTCCCAGAGGCATGCGAACCTGTTTTGTGAACTTCTGACAAGCAAAATCAATGGGGAAGCCAGATTCACTTAAGAACCGTGTTCCTAATGTAACATCTGCAGTGATTGATCTGCAAGAAAGGTTGTAAAATGGGGCAAAATTCACTTAACAAATGTCAATACAAATTCACTTAACAAATTAGCAATACAAATTTTGGGTTTAATTGTCATAAGCCGTGGACAACCTGTAGTTTAGAAGACTTGCAAGGGCCAACGCAGGTAAATGAATCAATGTAATAAAAAAACAGCTGTAGGAATTCCTGATATCAGTCCAGGAGACAGACACATATTGTGATAGGACCAAAAAGTAACATTCCTACATTAGATGTCTTAATTGAAATGTATTGGACTATAGAAATAATTTGAAATCCACTTGCTGCTTCGCTTTCATTTGTGGCACTGATTTTTTTTTTAATTCCTTTATTTTAAAATTGGGTTTATCTAACATGTTAAAAAGCAGTATGGCTTGTTTCATTTTAGCTTATTATACACTACATTTTTAAAAGAGTTTTGATTGGGCTTTTTAAAAACTCTGTTAAACAACTAATTCCCACAACACTGTCAAACTATTTACTAAGACTGTATTAATATTATTCTTCTCATCCTTCCTATTACCTATCTCCTCCCACTTATGACTATAACTATGTTGCTTGTATCTTTATTATTTATATTGTTTTATTTGTTTCCTAGTATGATTTGATTGCTTATTAGTAAGCTAGGACTATCACTAAGTGTTGTATCTTATGATTCTTGATGAATGTTTTTTTTCTTTTATGTACACTGAGAGCATGTGCACCAAAAACAAATTCCTTGTGTATCCAATAACACTTGGCCAATAAAGAATTCTATCTATCTTCTATCAAAATGGGGAAATTAATTCAGATGCTGTTGCATGCAACTTGACAGCTTTTTTGCAAAGTTGCCATCTCCTGCATTAGTTGATCTAACATATAAGCAGAATCATATGGCTGTCCAGATGGTGGATTATAATTCATATTATATCAGATCCAGCCTCCTTCTCAACATCTGGAGAGTGGCAGATTCCTGAGTCCTGCTTCAATCCATTTATGCTAGATGCTAACAAATACCAATAGGGATGCAGTGGCTCAGTGACTAAGACGCTGAGCTTGTCGATTGAAAGGTCGGCAGTTCAGCGTTTCGAATCCCTAGTGCTGCGTAACGGGGTGAGCTTCCGTTACTTGTCCCAGCTTCTGCCAACCTAGCAGTTCGAAAGCACGTAAAAATGCAAGTAGAAAAATAGGGACCACCTTTGGTGGGAAGGTAACAGCGTTCCGTGCGCCTTTGGCATTTAGTCATGCCGGCCACGGAGACGTCTTCAGACAGCACTGGCTCTTCAGCTTTGAAATGGAGATGAACACTGCCCCCTAGAGTCGGGAACGACAGCACATATGTGCGAGGGGAACCTTTACCTTTACCTTTAACAAATACCAAGGCTTGTTTGTTACCTTTACATAAAATTTTGTCTTCTGGCTCTGCTGCATTGCTTGCCAATTGTTATATAGATATCCTAGTCGAGCCTGTTCACAAAGCTCACCTTCCCCATTGCTTAAACCAGTTCCAAATGAGCACTGATGAATTAGTTAAGTAGATACAGATGGAGCCAAAGTATCTCCAACAATGTTTTCCTTCATTTAACAATGATCATTGATCACAGTATTTACTAGCTCTTATACTTTTGATTGCATATAGAAGTGAAATATCCAGTTAGAAATGGCTAATAATAAGTAGTGTGTGTTGGATGCCACTAATATTATTCTATAATCTGAGATAATACAAAGAAATTAACATCACATCTATATTGGTATGAGTTAAGTTTCTATTGGATTCAATGGGGTATATAGGTAGTCCTTGTCATACGACCACAATTGAGCCCCAAATGTCTTGTGGCTAAGGAAGACATTTGTTAAGTGAGTTTTACCTCATTTTATGACTTTTTCTGCCACAGTTGTTAAATGAATCATTGCAATTCTTAACTTAGTATCATGGTGGTTAAGTGAATTGGGTTTCCCGGTTGACTTTGCTTGTCAGAAGGTCACAAAAAGTGATCACATGACCCCGGGGCACTGCAACCGTCATAATTATGAGTCAGTTGCAAAGCGTTTGAAGTTTGATCACAAAATGAAACAAAATGTTAAAAAGTTACGATATTTATGTAGCTACTTACCAAGCACATCTAAATTATATTAAAGTAACCAAAATATCTTTACAATCCCCAAGGCCTGTCACAACTTTTGAGCGTCCCTCATGTTTGGAAATTGAAAGTTGAAAAATTTGACACACCCTAATTGGGGATGCTGTAATGGTCGTGTGAAAAACTGTCATAAGTCACTTTTTTCAGTGCTAAATGAACGGTTGTATGTTGAGGATAAAGGATTGTAATCCACCCAATCAAGATCCCAGTTTCTGCTTTACTTTATTGATTTATCTTCTGTACTTTCAGAACGGGGGGCAGACAAATCCGTCTACAGTGAGACAATCTTTTGGCGGTGTTGGCAAAAATCTAGCAGGTAATTCATTCCAATTGTTTCCACAGTGAGTATATACAATTTCTAGCGTAGTTCCCTCTGACCAATCCAGATCTGTTGGACTACCTCTCTCATCCCTCTGTTAGCACGGCATCAGATTAGGGCAGGGGTCGGCAACCTTAAACACTCAAAGAGCCACAAAGGTCCTAACCGGAAGCCCCCGTTCAATTCTGGAGCCAATCAGAAGTCCAGTTCCCCCATCATAGTCTCCTCCTAACTCCCTTTTTCCTCTGCTGACCAGAAGTCTGGCTCCCCCACCATAGAGTCTCCTCCTAGCACAGCATCCTTTTTCCTCTGCTGACCAGAAGTCTGGTTCCGCCACCATAGAGTCTCCTCCTAACATGGCGTCCTGTTTCCTCTGCTGACCAGAAGTCCAGTTCCGCCACCATAGAGTCTCCTCCTAGCGCGGGATCCTTTTTCCTCTACCTGTCCTAACTGAAAGCCCTATCAATTGTGGAGCCAACCAACAACAAGGAGCCACAGCAGAGGGATGAAAGAGCCACATGCGGCTCCAGAGCCACGGGTTGCTGACCCCTGGACTAGGGAAAGCAGTTTCATTGTATAATTCACTTTAAAGCTTGCCATTATAAAAATACAGATCATATTCAGTTTGTTTCATCTTCATGATATATACAGTTAGTATAATGGTGTACCCCCAACCTGCAAGTATCCAGGGCACTGGGTATGGTTGGAAGAAAAATAGCAATAGCAATAGCAATAGCACTTAGACTTATATACCACTTCACAGTGCTTTACAGCCCTCTCTAAGCGGTTTACAGAGTCAACATATTGCTCCCAACAATCTGGGTCCTCATTTTACCAACCTTGAGAAGGATGGAAGGCTGAGTCAACTTTGAGCTTGGTGAGATTCGAACTGCAAAATTGCAGTCAGCTGGCAGGTTTTTTTTTTCTTTAATTTTTATGCCGCCCTTCTCCGGAGACTCAGGGCGGCTTACAATGCGTTAAGCAATAGCCTTCATACTTTTGTATATTTATACAAAGTCAGCTTATTGCCCCCACAATCTGAGTCTTCATTTCACCTACCTTTGAAAGGATGGAAGGCTGAGTCAACCTTGAGCCTGGTGAGATTTGAACTTGCAGTAATTGCAAGCAGCAGATGTTAATGTTAACCCTGGACTACTGTAATGCTCTCTACATGGGGCTCCCCTTGAGGAGCACCCGGAGGCTCCAGCTGGTCCAGAATGCGGCTGCGCGGATAGTTATGGGAGCAGCATGGCGCTCCCATGTGGCTCCCCTCCTGTGCGAGCTGCACTGGCTCCCTGTGGTCTTCCGGGTGCGCTTCAAGGTCTTAGTTACCACCTTTAGAGCGCTCCATGGCTTAGGACCGGGGTACTTACGAGACCGCCTTCTGCCACCAATAGCCTCTCACCGCCCAGTACGCTCCCATAGAGAGGGGCTTCTCAGGGTGCCGTCAGCCAAACAGTGTCTACTGGCGGCCCCCAGGGGGAGACCCTTTTCTGTGAGGGCACCCACCATCTGGAACGAGCTCCCCCCAGAGATACAGAAGATTCCGGATCTGCGCACTTTCCGCCGTGCCCTCAAAACATTCCTGTTTCAGCAGGCCGGCCTGGCCTAACTTTCCCTTTATATTGCTTTTTGATTTTATTTTAAACTGGGATGTCTTGAATTATCTAGGACCAGAGTGTTTAGTATATTTTAATTGGTTTTTTATTAACGTTTGTATTACATGTATTTTTATCGTTCGCTGTTCACCGCCCTGAGTCCCTTAGGAATAGGGCGGTATATAAATTTAATAAATAAATAAATAAATAAATAAATAAATAAATAAATAAATAAATAAATAAATAAATAAATAAATAAAATCTGTTAATAACAGTGCTTTAGTCCACTGTACTACAGACTCTGTTTTAAAAATATGGAACGCTTCACGAATTTGCGTGTCATCCTGCAGTCATGCAGTCAGCAGAAGTAGCCTGCAGTACTGCACTTTAACCACTGCACCACCGTGGCTCAAAATGATGGGAGAGATAGCTATGATGTGCTCTAAGAATGGAAGTTCTACAAATAATAATATAATTCAAAATATGCTGTTCAAGAGTCAGCCGCTTTGCTCTCAGTCTCCACACATACACTGTACTGTGCTTTCTCTCTCTTCATAGTAGCGTTGTAGTTTACTTTCAACCCTAACCCTAGCCCCTAACCCAGGAGTGAAATCCTGCCAGTTCTATCCGGCTCAGGCGAACCGGTAGCGGCAGCTGCGGGAGGCTCCGCCCACCTGTGCAGACATCATGACGTTGCTTTTTTGCAACATTTTAAGTCTCTGCGCATGCTCAGGCTTTGTGCATGCGTGGAAGACTACACGCATGAGCAGAACGAGCACGTGCACGATGCACACACCTTGGCAAACCGGTAGGGAAGGTAAGTGAATTTCACTCCTGCTCTAACCGTAACTTACGATACCCACTCTATTCTCCCAAACTCTATTCTTGAGTCACAGGAAACAAAATTATTGGGATAAGAAAATAGGTTTCATAGAATTCTTTATAGAATAGAATTCTTTATTGGCCAAGTGTGATTGGACACACAAGAAATTTGTCTTCGGTGCATAAACTCTCAGTGTATATAAAAGCTGTAAGTGATAAATCACGATCATAGTCATCATAAAAATACATTCATCATACAATATTAAGATACAACATCTCGTGATAAGTTGTAGGATACTAAATAAGCAATCAACATAAATCATACAAGGAAACTAAATAAAACAATATAAATCATAAAGATACAAGCAACAAAGTTATAGTCGTAAGTAGAAAAGGAAATAGGAAATAGGAAAGATGAGAAGAAGAATAGTAATGCAGACTTACTAAATAGTTTGGCAGTGTTGTGGGAATTAGTTGGTTAGCAGAATGGGCAGTCATCTTCTCTCCCTTATTAATTCAGCTGAAAAACACGTATCATTTCCCTGTTCAAATTACTCCTGAGTGGCTTGGTTCTATTCCACTCTGATCCTCCCAAACAAACTAAACGCTAAATGGGGGAGAATTGTAATTCAAGGCTAGGCCATACGCTTTGCATCCCGGTGGTTTCAGATTCCATCTCCAGCATCTGTCCTAGCACCTTCCTTTGAAAGAACATCCTCTCCAGAGGTACAGGCACACTCAATCCTACGAACATGTAAACAATCCTTGAAAATCATAGTACAAGGTGTGCAGTGTCGGTTTTGGTTAAATTATGTATTTTCTCCCTATTATGTCTGATGTTGTGTTATTATTTCCTTGGCTTTTTGCTGGTGTATCTGTTTTTAATCAGTCCAGAGTGACTGCTGAATTGGATAACCTTATAAATGCAGATCATCCATCCATCTATCTGTCCATCTGCTAATCTATTGTTTGGAAAAATGGTGAAGCATCCACCTAGCCTAATGGCTGAGCAGAAACCATGGGACAATGACATAATTGTCCATAATGCACAGCAACTTCCCTTAAGTATAAAGTAAAGGTAAAGGTTCCCCTTGCACATATGTGCTAGTTGTTTCTGACTCTAGGGGGCAGTGCTCATCTCCGTTTTAAAGCTGAAGAGCCAGCGCTGTCCGAAGACATCTCTGTGGTCATGTGGCCGGCATGACTAAATGCCAAAAGCACACGGAATGCTGTTACCTTCCCACCAAAGGTGGTCCCTATTTTTCTACTTGCATTTTTTACATGTTTTGAACTGCTAGGTTGGCAGAAGCTGAGACAAGTAACAGGAGCTCACCCCATTACGCGGCAATAGGGATTCGAACCGCTGAACTGCCGACCTTTCGGCAGTCTTAGCCACCGAGGCCACTGTGTCCCTGCCCTTAAGTATACCATATGCTAATTTCTCTATATTACAATGGCACAAGACAAGGTGCCAATAGTTACAGCTCTTTTTCCTCCTTGATGTCAACTCACTAAATGATAGGACACAGCTGATAAAGACCAGGAAATCCCAAGAGCCTTTGACTTTGATATTCTAGTTCAAATATTCAACCAAGTTTAGCTTAATTTTACTTCTTTTTCTTTTTTAGATTGCTTAAGTCGTCTTGGGAAGATGCCCGTTTTTATCTCAGTCATGGGGAAAGATGAGCATTCAGAATCTGTTCTGCGACACTGCAGGCATATGGTAGTTTATAACATTTGACAATTGTTAACTTATGATCTTACAACATTTTAGTACAATAGATGTACTTCCAATTTTCTCTTATTTATTTGTCCAATTTATATAGCGTCCCATCTTACAAAACAACTAACTCTGGGCAGTGAATAACAAAACTCCTGTAAAGCCTTTTATTTGCTTTCATTCTTCGTTTCCCTTTCTTTCAATTTTATAACTTTTAATTTTTATATTTGTTTGCCCAATATTGATCAAACAGCATCTTCTTTTAAGTAACAGACTTACATGAGCAATACCATGGAAGCTGTTATATTCAATCATAGGCTGCATGGCTTAATTTTCAAATTGGACATGGTGAACGTGAAGCTTAAATATTTACCCTCTGCATGGACAGTATCTAAACTGCAAATTATGTCCATGTTTTGTTTTTAATATTTAAAAAATATTACTTTCGTTACTGTTTATTAATTTCATTGTAAACCACTTAAAATAATGGTGAGACGTGGCATGTAAAGATCAATAAATGAAATTGTTAAGCGGTATAGGTTGCGCCATAGAGAAGCAGACTTACAGAAGGTATCTCAGTGAAGTCCTAAGTGTCCAGGAAGGACGTCCATGGAGATTCTCAGTCCTCCAGGTCATGGTTGTCCCAAATATGCTTTTTCAAAAGGCAATTGGACTTTCTTTGTTTTTTCTTTGTTTTGCTTCTTCTCCAAGAAGCTTCTTCAGAACATCACTTTTGGGATGTCCAGGAAGGAGTCTATAGGAGTACGCAGTCCTGCAACTCAACTGCTATACAGAGCTCAAAAAGTGAAGAGTAGAAAATCAACTTCTGAGAATGAAATAAATGTTGCTGACTTTGTCTCACTTGGTTTGCTTTAAGGATATGAGAGGAGTCTTACAACTGAAAGGACGCAACACAGCAACTTACTGTGCTGTAATCACAGGCACCGGAGAACTTACCTTTGGTTTGGGAGACATGGAAATCCATCAGGAGATAACACAGCAACATGTAAGGTCTTCCTGTGGTCTTCTGATTACAGTGTCTGGTATTGATTGGATTTTTTTTATCATTGTCATTGTTTGCTTTCTTAAGGGCAGCTTTTTGATATTCATCGTAGATCCTGTCCCCATTTACACTTTATCATAGTGCAGTCATGTGTTGACCATATCAGTTGTCTCCTTCAGTCACACAGTATCGTCCTCACCTGGTCCTGAGCCTCTGACTGGACAGCCTACAGTCATCACTAAGTGTAAAAGTAGTTTCTCCTTCCCCTTCATTCCCTTAGTCTGTTATTATCCTATTACTGTGTCATCACTTTCATGGATATCATATATTTTCGATGTTTTACTAAACTGAAGTACAATCTGTCTTGCAGTTCATAGAGTGAAGCTTCTATTTCTAGTATTTTGCAGCCAGGAGCTTTCAATGACCACAGAGAACATGATTGACGATGACATAACAGCTATGAAATAAGCAGAAGCCATTTTTTCAGTTTGTTGCATTAGGGTTTTGGCAGATGAAATATGGAGGCTGAAGGCACTTGTGTCATCCAATTTCAGCCTGCTGTAATTTCTTCCCAAAACAAAAAGATCCAGCAAATATTGGCCCTGCTAACTCTGACAGATGTTGGGGTAGAGCACATGCAGCCTCTAGCAGTGGTGAAATGTAAAATTTGTTCTGTGGGCATGGCTTGGGGGCGGGGGAATGAGACTGAGTGGGCATGGCCAACTTTTTTTAAAAAAACTTTTAAAACCATTTTTTCTACAACCTCTTCGTCATAAGAGGTTGTAAAAAAATGCTTTTAAAAGCCTCTGACGATCCCAGCTGAGTTGCATGATCATAAAAGGCTTCTTTTTCTTTTAAAAACATTTTTTCTACAACCTCTTTGGCGGAAGAGCTGCGCGATCATCAAAGGCTTTTTTTTTTTAACTTTTAAAAGCATTTTTTCGGCTGAAGAGGTTTAGAAAAAATGCTTTTAAAAATAAAAAGCCTCTGATGATCGCGCGGCTCAGCTGGGCATGGGGGGGGCAGGGATTTTTGCTACCCGTTCTCCGAACCACCCGCCTCCATCGCTACCGGATCATGTGATCCGGTCTGAACCGGGAGCATTTCACCCTGGCCTCTAGTCTTTCTTGTGTACCCTTCTTCTAAATAAACAAAGAGTTGAAAAGATATATTATGCATTGTGTTACCCTGGAGATTGAATCACATCTACATTTTATCATTAGCTACATTTTTATTTATTTCTGTCTCATTCAAAGATTTTAGGGTGGTAGAAATGATGTTTCCTAGTTCCAGGTTTGTTTTCCTTCTGGAAAATCCCCATGCTGTGCCCCTGTGAATCATTACCCTCAAGGCTGGCCCAGGTAATCTGTAATTCTAGGCATTTTTGCCTAGAGTGGATTTGTTCTTCTGAGCTTATGATGGACTGTTGAAAGCCACTTTTTCAATTCTGAGGCCTCCACCCGCAATTCCTTCCAGATGTTGATTTCTAATACGTGCCTACCTGTGGAGATACAAGTAATCATGACTTCGCTTGATGAGTGAGGCATATTTTAGGACTCTAATGGAAGAGGCGATTAAGAGCGATTCAGATGCAACTCCACCCTTTTCCCCCATGAATGAAAACAGTTGGGAAAAAATTGCTAAGACCCTGCCCTTAACAGCTGATCATATTTTCTTAAGAAAGCATTATGCATGTCAGTAAATCACTTATTGCTAGACCTTTAAGAAACTGAAAATTCATTTTGGAAAGGAAAAACAGCGATCATTCTTCCCATCGCATCACCACACTCTTGAGATTTCCATTTGCTTTACCAAAGAAGTGGTTGATTTGATTATATGCCAACAGATTATTGTTGACTCTTAGCAACTACATAGATTTTTTTTTCTTCATGATGATCTGTCGCTAACCTGGTCCTTAAGTTCTTCCAATAGTGCTCCCATCACAATTATACCTATCTACTTTGCTGCTATCCCAAAGGTGTTTTTTCCAAAGGCAACTGGACTTTGCTTTTCTTGAAGACATTTCACTTCTCATCCAGGAAGCAAACATCTTCAAGGAAAAACAAAGTCCAGATGCCTTTTGAAAAAACACCTTTGGGACAACCGTAACCTGGATGATTGAGAATCTCCATAGACATTTGACTTGCTCCTAGTCATCCTATTCCGTTTTTTCCCCCTTCCAGTTTTCCAGCCTTTCCCCATAGAGCTGATCTTCATCATACGTCTGAAGTAGGATAATTTGAACTTGATCGTTTGTGCCTTGAGTGAAAACATCAAGAAAACATAGAATTGTTCGATGATTTATTGGTTTTTCATTATTTTCCAGAGTCTTCTCCAATACCAGAGTACAAAAGCATTAAACCAAAGAAATGAAGGTGGGGAGAGAGGAATAACCATTAAGTGATATATTTTTTCTTATACAATAACAAAAAAAATTCCTCAAAAGTTTTGTCGTCCTCAACCACACAAGCACTAGGCTGTGTTACCTTTTGTTCCTTTAAGCCAAGATTTGAAATACAAGTGAGTTGCAAGGCAGGCAGGAAAACCTACCTCAAAAGTGGGTTTGTGTCTGTGTAATGCAATTTTGTCCCTGTGAATTCCACTCTGACATGAGCTGCCAGTTTTGACAGGATGTTTTCTGAGAATCAACACCTCAGTTTTCTCAAATTTTAACGCAGAAACAAAGACTGTCAGATGATCGCTAAACGAAACTTAAGTCATTAAAAAGAAAAAAAAAAGAAAGGGAACCCCCCACCCCACCCCAGCTGTAAGACTGGCAGTGCATAGCAGAGCCTTGTCTATTTTTGCACTGTCACATTGCTCAGTTAGTTAAGACTCTCCTTGATCAAGGTTAGACCTCTGTCACAGCTGCTTACTCAAACATGACTAATGCAATATATCGAGCAAAATGTGCAGCTTGATTTGCGGCCTTAGCTCACTCATTTGCATGTTTTAGACCAGGGGTCCTCAAACTTTTTAAACAGGGGGCCGATTCACAGTCCCTCAGACTTTTGGGGGGGGCGTGGCTAGGTGGTCATGTGGCTGGGTGGGCGTGGCCAATTTAACAGTCCAATTTTTTGCCTTTCTCCTTCCTAAGATCCCGTTTAAATTGTTTTCAAAGACTTTTAATTTAAAGCAGTACTTTACAAGCCTAGAGCTGCTTTTCAAGGCAGCACCACCCCCTCCCCTATTCAAGCACCGGCCCTGATTCATATGGCTGTGAAAAAGACTTCTAATTTAAAGCAGTATTTTACAAGGCCAGAGCTGCTTTTCAAGGCAGCACCAGCGAGATCACCTCTCAGCTGGCCCTCAGCTGGCCTTTCAGCTGGCTCACTGGAAGATAAGGCCCACGGTGAGGGGCGGGGCTTAATCACACCACTCCGTGGGCCAGATACTTTGCATTGGTGGGCCGTATCCGGCCCGCAGGCTGTAATTTGAGAATGCCTGTTTTAGACTGTATGGAAGCCAGCAAAGTTTACATCTGAGCAAACATACAAAGTGATTCCAGTGCACAGGTTATGTTATGCAGATATGGATTGTAGCATATGTGGTATTTAGCCAGTTCAGACCGGTTCAAGCGAACCGGTAGCGGCGACTGCCCAGATGTAATGCTGTCCTATTTAGCCACGTTTTCAAGGTGGGGCACATCCATGGAAGGCGCGCGTGTGAGCAAAGCACATGCGCAGAAGGCCGAGTGCATGTTCAGAAGGTGTACGGGGTGAACCGGTGGCAACAATATGTGAAACCCACCCCTGGATTGTAGAAATGCTGCGAAGAAGCACTGCTCTTTGGCTAGATCACATTGAAGGAGATGGAAATTGGCATTAGAAAGGACGAGTTAGGCCACTTGGTTTTGGACTACAAATCCCAGAGTCTGAATGTCAAGTGTAAACATAGGATGACATCTGATGTAAGGCAATTTCACACACACTCTTCTTTTTCTTCCTAACACGCTTCTGACAGACAGATGGTGTGGGAGTTAATTCTCAAGCAGTCAGAGAAAGACAACACAATGATAGATCAGACTATTTTCTGTTGAAGGAACAGATGCAGTTTTCCTCTTCCCAAAGTGAAAGCCAAGTGCACAAGGAAGCCAAAGAAGAGGGCACAAATGGGCTTGGTAGTAATTCCATCCGTAGGATTTGTGCTTGAAACACTAGTTGCCCAAACTCTTTCATTAAGATTCTAGCTTTTCGATAATAAGAACTACTGATTGGGAATTTTAGGATTCTGGTGTGCTTGCTTGGTTCCAGTTCTTACATGCTGAACATTGACAGATGGGTAGGTGTTGCTGTTATATACCAGAAAAACATACATCTTGTTAGCTTGAAACCTTGGTACTTATTTTTATTCCATGTGAAGTAGATTTTCCATTGCAGTGAAAGCTGCTACTTTTCAACTTAAATATAGCCTACTTGAAAGCTGCTTTGCAGGTGACTTTTTTTTTTTATGCCTGGAGATTGTTTTGCCAATCCTAGAACATTCTGTCTGAGAGATAAGAGACATACCATATTTTTTGGAGTATAAAACGCACCTTTTTCCCCCTAAAAGGGGGTGAAAATTTAAGTATTTATACACCGAATGTAGCCCTGCCCACCCACTGGCCCTCACCCTTTGGCCTCTGCCTCCCAGCAGTTTACCTCCTTGCAGCAAGCAGCAAGAAGAAACAGCTCATTTCAGCTTCAGCACAGCCTAATTAGCACAAGTTGATTGGATGGCCTCCTGACTCTCAGCTGTTTTTATCTAAGCTGTTTTGCGCGGGCCTCTGCTGCTTGCTGCAAGGAGATAAATTGCTGGGAGCAGATTTTTTTTTCTTGTGCTAATCAAGCTGTGCTGGAAATGAAAATGAAAGTAAAGCAGGCTGTTTGCTGCAATGAGGCAAAATTGCTGGGAGGCAAAGGCAGATTTCTTTTTCTTGTTTTCCTCACCAAAAAAGGTAGGTGCGTCTTATAGTCCAGAGCGTCTTATACTCCGAAAAATACAGTATGTACATCCTCCTATACTGAAACAGCAGAAGTGTAGTAGCTATGTTCACAAGGTGAGTTGTAACATCAACCAACCAATAACCCAGCAAAACTGAAAGAATATGTATCTATGCCAGTGTTTTAAAATCTTGGCAACTCTAAGATGTGTGGACTTCAACTCCCAGAATTCTCCAATCAGCTATGTCTGGGAGTTGAAGTCCACACATTTTAGAGCTGCCAAGATTGGGCAACACCGGTCTATACAAAGTTTGCTGTCTTACTACTATGCAATTAGTTGTTACTATTGTATTTCCCTGCAATATTTAATTGGTTATTTGGCAACTGGTGAAATTGGTTTGAGTTCTGTCAGCTTATCTTTGTAGCCAAAGTGATAGCAAGAACAAACCTGTAAGCAAAGAGACCCAGTAAGCAAAGAGACCTGTAAGCAAAGAGAGCCCATCTGATAGGTAGATGTGAGAGAGGATAGGTCTGAGATGAAGCAAGAAGAAGGTCTCTGGATGTACTCTGAGGATTGCCCCCCCCCATTTCTTCCTGTATTCTTTCTTTGCCCTGTTGCCTGTCAGTCAAACTATTGGGGGGCACACAATATTGGTTTTTCAGAAGACCCATGGGACCCTATTCAGAAAGAGCTCAAATGGCAGGTTACCAATATGGAGCAACTCTAAATTAGTAATTTGTCACTAGTGATCTAACAATTTGAAAGTTATCTAAAACCTCTGTTCCAGATTCACTCAAGTCTTCTCTGATATACTTTTAAGAAGTATGCAATTTTTGTCTTCATCAATTGGTGATGCTGAGTGAAAGCAGAAACAAAGACAGTGTAATCCACAAACTTCTTGTAAGCTTCATTACCAAGGGAGATCAATTCAGATTCCTGGTACAAATTATTCAGGCATACTTTTCAGACCCCTTCAAGGACTTGAGGAATGCATATTAATTTGGCCACAAGGAAGAGAGTTGCACACTCTGATTGCCAACTTTAATTCATTCAGACAGTAGTAAATTTGTGGGATAATAAAAAATACTAGCACATGGAGAGGAGAAATGTAAACATGAGAATATGGTATTATATGAGCTAAACAGTATGGGAGATCCCAGGGCTGTAGGTTAGATGAAGATGTTAAGCAACATCCTAGAACAGGGGTCTCCAATCTTGGCAACGTTAAGACTTGTGGACTTCAACTCCCAGAATTCCTCAGCCAGCTTTGCCTGAAGTCCACAAGTCTTAAAGTTGCCAAGGTTGGAGACCCTGTTCTAAAAGACAGCAGCAAACTAATTCTACATTACTGGGAAAACTCTAAATTGAGCTCAATGCAAAGGAGACTTCACCTTCATTTCTTCACCTTCATGCAAGTAACAATATTGATTTAGGATAATGCTCCCTCCAAAGACCTACTAGATAGATTATCTTGCCCAAATGGGACATGGCCAATCTACAAAATTCATATCCTGCTTTTGTCACATTCATAGATTCTACCTGGTTTTCCCATTGCCAACTGTCTCCTGCTATTCCCTTCAGGTGTCACAGTTCAAGGAGAACCTGTGCTTGGCTCCAATAATATGCCTTGATGGGAATGTGCCAGTTTCTACCATTGAGTACATCTGTCAGATTGCCAGAGAACATCACTTAGCAGGTAAGAAGAAATATGATGGTGCAGGCATGAAACATAGTCTCGTCCCTCTACTTTTTTAACAGTTATCATTACAAAGGAGCAGAATCTGGGTGCTCCAATGCAGCTTCCAGAGCCCCCCAAATGACGCTATTTAAAATGTCATTTCATGGAGGCTGACATAATTAATCTCCCATCTGAACTATATTGTTATTCTTCCTTCTAGAACAGGGATGTCAAACTCCCATCTTCATGGCATCATCACATGACGTATTGCGATATTTTCCCCTTCGCTAAACTGGGCATGGGCGTGGCCATGCATGATGCAACCAGCCCATGGGTGTGAGTTTGACAGCCCTGTTCTAGACAATAGTATTCCTTTTTGCCCTTACTATTGATTGGTGGATTTTGATAGTTATTTGCTCTGCATTTGAGACTTTCATGCTTGTTAAACCTGCTTTTACAGGAAGAAGCTTCAGAATCTGTCCAAGGCATTTTGGCTTTGGATAACCCAGTGCTTGAAGTAGAGTTGGATGTTGTCATATGATTCCAACAATTTTGGTCATAGTGTCTGAGCTTTCATTTTTATTGTGAAATGTATCTATAGCATTTATATTATCATTACCTGTAATCTGTCTTTTTTTTTTATTCTAATATTCAGCCAGTATTAGACAGCTAAGAAATATATTACTTTGTTCACAGATGAAGGGAGAAATGTTTGGATCAAACTTAACATCCAAAACAGAACTCAACAGAGAAGAAAGTAGTTTTGTGCTAATCGGACAATTAGCAAGATAGGTGCATCTTATCCAGGCAAATTGATTTCAGCCTAATCCTTTTGAATGATCAGAACATAAGAAGCATCTCTGACTTAAACTTCAAAGTTGTGTTTAATCCAGTGGCTAACCAGATTATCTTTCTTTTCTTTTCTTTTCTTTTCTTTTCTTTTCTTTTTTTTTTTGCACTGTTGACATTTTAACAAAAAAGCAAAGATAGAAGCGTTTTGACTAAATAGGATGCTTTATATTTGTCAGAATCACTGACCAAATGCAATGTTTTTTTCAAGTGTACTATGAACCTACAGATGTGAACAAAGCTCCAAAGCCTTTTCTTTCAGAAAGTTGGAGAAATCTGACCTGCATATCTCCCAACCTTCGGGAACTCATAGCCATCAGTCAGACCCTGGGAAATCCTGTGCCAACAGGTGAGGCACACTTGGGAATGACAGTAACAAAGAAGTATTTCTAATTTACAGCTTGGAAATATTAAATTTATATTATTCATTATCAGCCCCTGGTTAACAATTCAATACCATCTTTCTGCTTGAGAGGGGCTCCCCAAAGTCTTTGTCGCTAGTGAGAAAATTTTAGAGATAACGAAGATGGTTTCTGGAACTTTAAATCTTTAAAACATGGAGTGTATCATTGAGCTATGTTTCCCTTTGAGCCGTGGTGGCGCAATGGTTAGAATGCAGTACTGCAGGCTATTTCTGCTGACTGCCGGCTGCCTGCAATCTCACTAGGCTCAAGGTTGACTCAGCCTTCCATCCTTCCAAGGTCAGAAAATGAGGACTGAGATTGTTGGGGGCAATATACTGACTCTGTAAACCGCTTAGAGAGGGCTATAAAGCACTGTGAAGCGGTATATAAGTCTTCAAACCCATAAATCACAAGTTCATATTTTTTTCAGCAAAAAGTTTATAAGGGATTTTCCTTTCACTGATAGTTGCTGATCTAATCAAACAAGTTAATACTACATTTCTGCTAGTTCTGTCATCTTCATCAGCCATTCCTCTTTTGTGGGTGTTTCAGAGTTGTAATTACAATTTCTGGTAATCACAGCAATCATAATCTTAACTATAAAATATTCTACTTAAATAAGTGAATAAACAAAACAAAAAGAAAAAGTTAAAGAAAAACTAATGCTCTCAATTAGTCAAAGCCACAGATTCCTTATTTTCCTGCCTTCTTAAACTGTTAACACAAGGAAAGAAGAAAAAAAGGGAATAAAAAAAATATTTCAACTTTCATGGATTACCTATGTTTGAAATATACCAAAGTGACCAGCCAGGCTAGTAAATTATTTTTCAGTGGTCTATTGTAAATTTTCCATTGTAATCTGATATCAGCCTTCTTTTGTTTGAGATAACTGGCAGCCACTCTCTGATATTAGAATGTCTTCATGTCTCTATCCAGGGCTTAACTAAAATGCATGATATGGGGGATAAAAAGTCTATCCCAATAGATGTATTCAGTTAAACAATTTACTCCTTTTTACCACTCCTGGGAGTCAATCTGGAAATATCATTGATTTTTTTTGCCATTGTATTCCAAGACAATTTCCTTCCTTTTATTGTGTTCAGACCTCTGAAAGAATTCCACCATGACAGGATTTGAACTTCCAAAGGATTTAAACGCAGCACATAGAAAGCTCTAATAGGACACTTCATGGTGGGGGAGGGGGGGATTACTATAGCAACTACAAATTAACCTTAATACCCTTTGTCCATAGATTATTTGGAGCCAGTCATATATTTGCACTCCAATTTATCTCAAAGATTTGTTATTGTGAAGATAATTACCATTCAGATATAGTTATTGATATACTTCCTTCTACCATTCATTCCCATATTTCTTTTGAAATGGAAATTTAGTAAATAATTAATTCTAATTTCTAGTTCCTCTTAGTGATATTGAAAAACCACAAGTGAATGGTCTGATTATGAATTCAATCCTATCTGACTGGGTTTCACTCTTTAACATTTCTGGAATGGAACCTACAGATATGCCATCAAAGACGGAGGACATTATCAAGACTGCTATTGCTCTAGCTTATCCTTTATTGAGAGGACTACATTGTGTGGTCGTAACTCTTGGTCAACATGGAGTCCTGCTGTGTGGCCGAAGCAAGGGTGGAAGTGTCTCTCTGCACCCTGAAACATGCTATGAGGTAAAAACAGATGGGAAAAACAGATGGGAAAATGGTGAAACTAGCATTTTCTTTGAAATGCTACAGCTATAGGGACTTATAAATGATTAGTTTCCCAATATATAGAATAATTGGGAGAATGCCCTATGATGGGTTGGAATGTGACTGTGATTCTTTCTTCTTGTTCTTAGCATTGTGCATTTGACACTGGTGAAGGTAATTATATATCATCTGCTAGATGCTTTTGAGGGATTGGATAGTAGAAAGGGTAACTGATAGAATGGCAATATGGAAATGCCTTTAGGTACTTGTTACGGATAAAGAAATGAAACTACAAAGGCAAAGGAAAAATTTTAGAATACTAGTCCCTCTTTGGATTTGAGAGTTCAGAAGACCATGCAGAAATCTTCCCTTTAATAGTGAGGACTTGCCTTTGAAAGACCAGACATGTAAGAATTCTTCTTCTCTGGTGATATTGTAATACTAACTAGAGCATACAAAACATTTGCTAGACCAATTCTCGAATACAGCTCATCTGTCTGTAAACTGCTCCAAATTCGATTGCAGAAAATATGACTTCAGTAACAGAGTGGTCAATGCCTGGAATGCACTACCTGACTCTGTAGTTTCTTCTCCAAACCCCCAAAACTTTAACCTTAAACTGTCTACTGTTGACCTCACCCCATTCCTAAGAGGTCTGTAAGGGGTGTGCATAAACGCACCAGCGTGCCTACCGTCCCTGTCCTAATATTCCTTTTTACTCTTACTCTTTTCACGTATTCAAATTATGTTTATACTTTTACCTGTTATATATGCTTGACAAATAAATAAATAAATAATAATAATAAATTTCTGAAAATGAAAAAGTCCATTCTCATCATTTTTAAATTATGGATTTGTGCTTGTAAACATAAAAACAGAGACTCGATTATGGGGAATAGTGCCTCTTCTCATGGGTCCTTCCTTTTCAACTGTTGATTATAGTCAATTTTCCTGCTCAGTTCCCCTGTAATACTTGAGGGCTATGAGTTCAATTCACATCACGATCACTTTTCTCCAATCAGGCCTGATTAAGTGAGTAAGGAAATTCTCCTCTTGTGTCATGTTCACCTTTAGCTATCCAGAACGTTAGTATTTATCAGAGAAGAGCAGGAAGGCACCTTATAGTTGTCTCCAGGCCCAGCTCCTTGAATTCTCCCATTTAATTTTACAGAATGCTACTACAGAGGAATTACGTGCTGTTCATTACCCAGCACTCCCTGTCCCCACCGAAGAGATAGTGAATGTCTCTGGAGCTGGTGATAGGTACTGTATATACTGCTAATTGTTCATTGAATGTGTGCCATGGCTGTACAGTGTTCCACCTCCCTCTGTTAGATCTTTGAAACTTAGGTTGCTATGACAACATAACAGTGCACGCAGCTATGCCACATTGCTAAGGAAAGTCCTTAGCCCAAATATTTATTTGGACATGATGAGAGACAGAGAGCTTGTTGTAAGCTGTCACTTTTCTGTATTGTTGTGAAAGAAAAATACATGGAGTTATATTTTATGGTTACATTGTGGGAAGATAATTGAAGCTTTGCTCCAGATGCCTGGAGACACAACTGTTGTAAAAAGACCACAAAACTTTTTAGGATGTGTTCCCCAAGAGCATCAGGTATTTTTATTAATGTAGAGGGCAATTCTGGGCTGCCCAATTCAAGTCCATTTCATGTACTGAATATTCTTATTATTGATAATGTGACTCAGTACACAAGTTATGTATATATTTTGTATTAACCTATTCATATTTTTGGCACTAAGTTACCCAAATTGCTAGAAAATGTAATATATCTCATTGCAAGAAAGGCCAATAGAGACCACGTAAGAAAGTACTCCTGGCTCTGTACATTTCTTCCTTGTCCACTAGTGACAGAAACAACTATCTGTTATATGTCCCATTTACTGTGACATGAAGATGCCTTGAGAAATATTTTAAAGGTACACCTCCTTGCTACATTGCCTCCATCTCATCCTCAGCCCATGGTAAAGAGAATCTGAAGCTGCCTTAGCTCTATTGTTAAACTAATTTTCTCTTTTGCCATGACAAATCATGTCCACAACCTCACTGAAATGGTTGATGACATGCTCAAGGTTTGGGAATTGTCCAGCTGCAATTGACAACTTATTTGCTTAATTATATTTGGGCAATGCTCTGAGTTAGCACTACAGCCCTCTCTAAGCAGTTTACAGAGTCAGGATCAGAGGTGATATTCAGCAGGTTCTGACCAGTTCTGGAGAACCGGTAACAGAAATTTTGAGTAGTTCGGAGAACCGGTAAATACCACCTCTGACTGGCCCCACCCCCAACTATTCTCTGCCTCCCGAATCTCAGCTGATTGGGAGGAAATGGAGATTTTGCAGAAACCTTCCCCTGGAGTGAGGAGGGAATGGAGATTTTACAGTATCCTTCCCCTGCCATGCCCACCAAGCCATGCCATGCCTACCAAGCCACGCCCACAGAACCGGTAGTAAAAAAAATGTTAAATCCCACTACTGGTTAGCATATTGCCCCCAACAATCTGGGTCCTCATTTTATCAACCTTGAAAGAATGGAAGTTAAGTCAACCTCGAGCTCCATCAGGATCGAACTCCTGGCTGTAGGCAGAATTAGCCTGGAATATTGCATTCTAACCACTGTGCCACCATATCTCTCCTCTGTCTCCATTTCAAAACCATCAACTGACTTGTTCAGAGTGGACCAATCAGAGAGATTTTTTTCCCCCTGTTCCTTTGTTTTGGGAATAATTGTGAGACAATCCCATTAAAAAAATATTCTGGCTGACTGGTTGGTGGGGTAGAGGAGGGACACATGATAAAGCACAAGGGAATTCTTTCTCACTGTGTGAAAACTCTGGGTAAATTTTTGTGTTCGTTGTGTTTCTGATGGTAGAGTATCAAATTCCTTTTAAAAAAAAAATCTGTTAATAACTAGTGACAGAATTTCCTATCAACTTTCTTAACGATTGGTGGATAAGGGTCTACATTGAATAGAGTAAAATAGAATAGAATAACAGAGTTGGAAGGGACCTTTGAGGTCTTCTAGTCCAACCCCCTGGCCAGGCAGGAAACCCTACACCACTTCAGACAAACGGTTATCCAACATCTTCTTAAAAACTTCCAGTGTTGGAACATTCACAACTTCTGGAGGCAAGTTGTTCCACTGATTAATTGCTCTCACTGTCAGGAAATTTCTCCTTAGTTCTAAGTTGCTTCTCTCCTTGATTATTTTCCACCCATTGCTTCTTGTCCTGCCCTCAGGTGCTTTGGAGGATAGTTTGACTCCCTCTTCTTTGTGGCAGCCCCTGAGATATTGGAACACTGCCCTCATGTCTTCCATTGGATCCGTTCAAGCAAAATTTCATCAGGCTTTGGTCTGCAATGCTTTGTTTGGGATTTTTATCCAGAAAAGAATTGAAATTGGTAACCAGCTGGCATTTTCCACTCTGCAATTTTATTGCTGGCTGCAGGAGCTCACATGCCCTGCTCCTAATGTCTGACTATGGTTGAGAATAAGGGTGTCATCTTGTTACTTGGAAGGCATTGAAAAGCAGTGGTCCTCCACATCTTCCTAAATTGTAATTCCCGGCATGCACTTAGTTGCTCGGTGAGCAGAGACACCTTCCATATGTAGCTGTGATATTGTCAATGCCCCTCCGGACTCCTTGAGAAATTGAGTTGATGAAGAAGCAGCTCAGTTCCTCTTGTAGTGTTTTGCAAAAATTTTTTTTGCAGTGTTCCGAATCTGTGGACCAGTTGGCTTCTAACAGATAGAAACTCCTGCTTCTGCTTGCCAACATGAGTTTTCCCCTTTGCAAGTCAAAAGTCCACATCCTCCATTGTTGTCCCAAGGGGAAGTTTTGCCATCTCCTTCCCCATTCCACCAGAGTTATTGGTCAGGAAATGAGACAGTAGGAGCATGCATGGTTCTTGCTGGGTACAATTTTGTTGGGTGCTGCTGGTATATGCTGTGAAGTTACTTCAGAGAGTAGGGAGGGATAAGGGTGGTGAAAATGTTCTTAATGCTCATATTCCATGCTTATCCCTAACCTAGTTTATGGTCTAGTTCAGCTCACAATGTCTCTTTTCTTTGCAGCTTAATGGCTGGAATCATCGCTGGGCTGCTTGCTGGGGAAGACACAGATAACTGCGTCCGGATGGGCCTCCTCTCAGCCAGTCTTTCCCTCCGCTCTTATGAGCCTGTTTCTCCATTGATCAACAGCACCAGTGTGAGCTTGGCAAGGCTCAAGGCTCAGAGATGGCCTGTGGCCAAGATTTGGAAGTTGTCTTAATTGGAATTTCTTCCGTTTCTCCTTCAGTCTTCATAGGTAGAGGGGAAAAAATAGTGCCTGAATCTCCCTATGCTGCATTCTATATTATTCTAACTCTGTTTACTATGTGTCATGCCCCAGCATATAATTTTTATATATGCTGCTGTTGCTCTCTAGCTCCATCTAGTGGCCGGAGGACAAATACCAATCTATATTGTTCTGAAGCTGACCCAACCCCTTTACCTATCAGCCCGCACTCTCAAAGCAAGTGCACATTGGGAAGCCTGACTCCATTTTCCTTTAGCATTTGGAGGAGGCAGAAACACAAAGAAAAATCCATCTTAATCTGTGGCACATGTTCATCCAAGGACAAACCCACATCCCACACACAGAGCATCGCTGTTTCACCATATCCTGTTCTTTCAATAAAGCATCCATCTCTGTGCACACGGTCTGTTTTGTTGGAGGATAGGTGGGTTTAGCTGCAAGTTGAGATGCGCACAGACTGACATGTAGTGAGGACAGAACACGATGTACAATAAAAGTTTTTTAAAAATTTACAGAAAAGCTCATCCTAAACTTTGTACACACACACCAAAATAAATAAATAAATAAATAAATAAATAAATAAATAAATTTACACTTGATCATGCACATTTGCAGGTATTTCTTTAATCTGCATGGTTTCTACTTCTAATTGTTATGGGAATAAACATTATATTAGGTAAAGAAGTGCAGCTTCCAGTTGGAGAGGCTGTTAATCAGGAGAAATATTCTCATTTTTGTGCAGTCTTTCCAAAGCTCTACCTAAATGGAGCTTGCACCCCACTCTGGAAATCTGATTTATTTGCTTATTTAAAATGGTACAGTATTGGATATATTAGTACAGTATTGGATAGCATAGTATTGCAAGATACCTTTGATGAGGTATATCTAAAATGCCTGTAGTCATAATTCTAACAGAACAAAACTGATTCAATAACGTTGGAGAACTTGATTTAGGCTGTATTTTTAAACAAGCGTTTAAGCAATCTCCCTAAATTAATGCATAAATTGAAACTCAAATATTCCTCAAAGTTCATACTTTTTGAATTTAGAGGTAGTCTCAAAAAGACATAAAAATTCATGCTTTAAAGGAAGAAATAATAGTTTTAATAAAAACAATGGGACAGAACGGATTATCACTGCCACCGAGATGGATTGATCTGTTTGTTTCTAGTTGTAACAGTTGAGGAACAACAAAAAAATTGGGAACGATCAATACTTCTACAGAAGAACAGAGGGGGGGGGGAATGATGGACTCATCACCTGCTCATTAGGCAGAATGTTTTCTTTCTTTCTTTCACCAGCAAAGTTCTTAAAGAGCCTTCGAGCACCTGCTCATCCCTCAAAAAGGGAGGAGTAGGAAATGTTCCATTATCACAATGGAGGAGAAAGATGGCATTAGGCACATGTCTGAATGGGGATACATGCTTTGGAAAGAAGTTGGGTGTTACTGGGATGGAGAAGGGGGGAGGAAAGAGGAAGAAAATTTCCAAGGAGACCATATGAGACATAAAATTGATTATCATAACAAAGGAGGGGGGGGGGGAGATGAGTATTTGTGTAAGAGAGGATGGGGTGGGGGAGGGGACGAGCTGGGACACTGAAGGTATAAAAGGCTTCCACCATCCATGCATGGAAAAGAAGAGAGAAACACTCCAGTGCATGTGGCTGTTTTAAATTGCTCCAACAGGCTTCAAGTCTCTAGATAGTTGGGCAAGAACAGTCAAGACAACAGTATGAAGGTATCTAGAATGACCATCCTCATGCTTTCCATGCCATTTTGTTTTCTGATTCAAACTGGGAAAGGGCTGGCTGCTGAAGAAGTCAACCCGGCTGGAGCTGCAAAATTTAGGAAGAATCTCCATCCCAGTCACAGAGACAAAGAGGTAGAAGGGAGGAAACAGCCTTCCCCTAGATTGTGGAAGGCTGCAGAAGGAGAAGCCCAACTAGGTGATGGAGCGTATGACAAAGCCGCAAGCAATTTGCAACTGGGAACCAGTAAGCAGAAGCCAAATGGCAAAAGGCCATTTCTCCCACAGTCCACTCCAAAGAGCAAGAGTCAAGGGCATGAAGACCACTTAGAAGGCCATGGGAACTTTAATACAGATACGGTGAGTAATATATATACATTTAATTAATTTTGGTCTGATCCTGAAATGCTCTTCCAATTCTTGCTGGAAATAAAATTTTACTTTGTAGTTGGGTTTTTGGCGGATTAGCAGGGGAATGGTAGTGTGTCACTTAAATGTGACGAAGTGTCGAATTGCAGTTAGAAGAATTATACAGAATTTTGTTATTTTTTATTTCATCAAGCCGCAGTATTCAGGAAATACAGATAGTCCTCGACGTATGACCATAACGGAGCCCAAAATTTCTGTTGTTAAGTGAGATGTTTAACTGAGTTTTGCTCCATTTTATGACCTTTCTTGCCACAGTTGTTGAGTGAATCGATGCTGTTGATAAGTTAGTAACCCGGTTGTTAAGTGAATCTGGTTTTCCCCATTGACTTTGCTTGTCAGAAGGTCACAAAAGGGGATGATCACATGATCCTGAGACACAGCAACGGTCATAAATACGAGTCAGCTGCCAAGCATCTTAATTTTGATCACATGATCATGGTGGACGTTGCAAAGGTCGTAACTGAAAAGCGGGCCTAAGTCACTTTCTCCGGTGCCGTCATAACTTTGAACGGTCCCTAAATGAACTGTTGCAAGTTGCAGACTACTTGTACTTGCAAACTGGCAACCAAATTAAATTAATCCGGATTCCTTGAAGCAGATAATGGCAACCAAAAAGCCAATAGATGAGGAATTACACCTCCTCCTTTGACAAAAACCAATTTAATAAGGTTTAGCTAACAAAAGTTACTATCAGCCCCACTAGTAGACCAGACTAAGAAATCATTGCTACAAGAAAAGTAAAACTACTTTTATTGAGATTGGTCATAACTGAAATTTGCAATTCTAATTCTCTTATTAGGAGGAAATGTTCTTATACACGTAGTCCTCACTTTACAACAGTTTGGTGACTGTTCGAGGTTTACAATGGCACTGAAAAAAGTGACTTTTATGACCATTTTTCACACTTATGACCATTGTGGCATCCCATGGCCATGTGATCAAAATTCAGACAGTTGGCAACTGACTCATATTTATGATGGTTGCAGTGTCCCGGGGTCAGGTTTTGTGACTTTCTGACAAGCAAAGTCAATGGGGAAGTAAGATTCACTTAACAGCCATGTTACTAACTTACCAACTGCAGTGGTTCACTTAATAACTGCTGAAAGGAAGGTCATAAAATGGGGCAAAATTCATCTAACAAATGTTTTGCTTAGAAACATAAATTTTTGCCTCAGTTGTAGTCATAAACTGAGGACTAATGAATTAGGGAGGCATCTGTCTGAGATGCTTCTGAATACTATCTAAACATTGTAGATTTAGGGAAAAGTTTTATCTCTTGTCACCTTGGCGACAGAGTTTGTCTATCAACATCAACTTCCTTAATTTCTAGTTATATTGATTCACGATCGCCACAAAAATATAAGTCTAGCAAAAAACACAATACAAGTTAATGAATGACTGAGACAGCATTTCTTTCTTTCAAACAATGCTTCTTATCTGCAGTTTCTTTTATTTCCTTCTCAGTATTCCTGCCCTGGGATCCAGTTGAAAGCCTGCCGAAAACCGTCTGATTGCGATGGCTGCTTGGGCCTCTATACTTGCAAACTTCCAAAAGGAAGGTGTGACTTCAAAGCAGTTTCCCGACAAACAGGTACCACAGAAACTAAGCAGAACATCAAAGTACAAGTGAATGAGATTCTTTTCCCGTTTTCAAATATTCCTTACAAAGATCAATACAGTGCTTGTTCTCACTAGTGTGATGTAATGGTTAAAATATTGAACTAAGACCAGTGGTGGATTGTCCCCGGTTCAGACCGGTTCTATAGAACCGGTAGTATAACCGGCGGGAGGCTCCACCCACTGACCCTGACATCATCAGAAGCGATCTGCACACGCGCAGAAGCAAGGCATGCGTGCGAGCGATCTCTTTGCGAACCGGTAGTAAAGGTAAGTAGAACCCATCCCTGACTAGGATTGATGTTCGGGGGAAGAACCAAAATAAAATTCAACCTCAGCAATAAAGCTCAGAGGGTTATCAATATAAGAGAATATTTGAAGCTCAGGGTTGAACTGTGGGCTTTTGGCTGTTTTCATGCAGATGTTTCTAATTTCGGAATGAAATGTCTGCAAGAAAACACCCAAGCTCAGAGAATACCAAAGGACCCCCGATAGGATATTCACTCTCTCTATCACTCAACCCAACCTTCCTTGCAAGATTGTGTTACGGAGAAACACTGAAAGAGAGCAAATTAGATTACTTCCAACTTTTGAAGGAAGAGTAGTGACTAATCTGAATGTCTAAATAAATGCCTTTACATCTGGGTAGTTCCATAGAAGAAAATTACACATTATGATCCTTAATACAAAAAGAAAATTAAATTTCCCACAGGAAATTAGAGATCAGTGAACGCTTTTCAGATATGTATAAATATATAGTCTGTCATAGTGATGTCTAGAACTAGATTTGACATTGTGCACAGTAAAAAACCTGCTGAATGGTTTCAAATGCTGTCTTCAAGCAATAGGCAACAGAGGGCGCTGTAAGGTCACAAGAAATGAAAATCTGATAAGATTTAGAATGCTCTTGCAATCTTTGTACAGTATATTTAAATATATCATATATTTTAAAAAAACTACATGTGAAAGGTTTTGCCATTGGCTTTGGCATTGATTTCTCCTGCAATGATTAAAAAACAGAACAAAACCGAGGACTGGCCCTTTAAAAATGCACCCATGATGTCCCTCCTTCCAACCTTGATCTTAGTAGTCTAGCTCATGTTTGATCTCGTGGTGGCCCTATTCCAGGGGTGAAATCCAGCAGGTTCTGACAGGTTCTGGAGAACCGGGAGTGGACATTTTGAGCAGTTTGGAGAACCAGCAGCAGAAATTTTGAGTAGTTCGGAGAACCGGCAAATACCACCTCTGGCTGGCCCCAGAGTGGAGGAGGAGGAATGGAGATTTTGAAGTATCCTTCCCCTGGAGTGGGGTGGGAATGGAGGTTTTGCAGTATCCTTCCCCTGCCATGCCCACCAAGCCACACCCACAGAACCGGTAGTAAAAAAATTTGGATTTCACCACTGCCCTATTCCTATTTTTTAAAAAATTCCTGTTTAATTCAAGGCAAAGTCACTGTGTATAAATTTTATAAATTGTATTTCTGCATAGTTGCGTTCATGTGACTGGGCAGGAGATGCCCGTTAGGAAGGAAAATGCATGCCATTAGCTAAGTTTGGATCAAATAATAGAGTCAAGTAATAGAATCAATATTTCTCTCCTTTACCAATAAGAACATTTTATTAGGTTCCTGGTTTTTTTTAGACTTATCACTATATTGAAAAAAAAAAAGCAAAGTCAGAGTTGTAATTTGCACATTAAAAATGTGTACCGGGATTTTAAAAACTCCAAAGAGAAGAAAAAGCTATTAAATCAGTTTTAACCTAGTCCCAAAATGTAAAATCAAAAGGCCACTCTAGGAAAGAATGGCATCATAGCTATGAACACTGTTCATTAACAGTTTGAGTATCTTTCCTATTCCAGCTTGTTGTTTTGAGGGGAAAATGCAAAACCTTAGCCTTGGGACCACAAAGGAAGAAAAAAAAAAGGAAAAATAAAAGGAAAAAGTTTCCTTAAATCATTGACCTCAAGATTTTCTGGACTTCCCAAATTCCCTGTGAGCTTTTGTCATGCTTTCTAGGACCTGAATTTCAACATAATTGGAGACCATCAAAATGGGAATTCTTGAATGAGAAGCAAATCATTTTCAAGGGAAAAAAAAACCCCAGGGAAGTCGAGTTGCCTTTTTGGAAAAGCACCTTTGCACCATGCAAGAGCTATCCATGTTCTACCCATGTAATTAGCATGCCACTACTCATTGTTGGCTTTCTCTACTCTGCCCCAAATCTGAGTTCACACAGCCTACAAAACTTTCTGTAGACAATTTTAAATATAAGTATAATTTTATTTCTATACCGCCCTTCTCCCAAAGGACTCAGGGCGGTGTACAGCCTATTTAAAAACACAAGACAAACATCAATTAAAATTTTAAAATTATTAAATAAATTCGGCTCAGTTTGAAACCCCAGAAATTTAAAATACCCCAATTTAAAATTATTATATTGATAGCCCGGCCTGGCGGAACAACAGAGTCTTCAGTGCACAGCGAAATACCGGGAGATCGGAGATCTTACAAATTTCAGGGGGTAGTTCATTCCACAGGGCTGGGGCTCCCACAGAGAAGGCCCTCCCCCTGGGTTTCACCAGCCGACATAACTTGGCCGATGGCACCCTGAGGAGACCCTCTCTGTGGGAGCGGACTGGCCGGTGGGAGGCTATTGGTGGCAGAAATCGGTCTTGAACCCAGGTCCTATGCCATGGAGTGCTTTAAAGGTGGTGACCAACACCTTGAATCGCACCCGGAAGACCACTGGGAGCCAGTGCAGCTCGCGCAGGAGGGGTGTCACGTGGGCCGCAATTTTAACTTGCCATGGACCACAAAATGTGGTTGTTTTTAAACTATGGTTTATACCTTAAAATATTAAACAAAGACAAGTAGTTGTGATTATCTCAAACTTGATTAAAATTGACAAGGTTTTCCTGGCATAGAAATGCTTCAGAGTTGATGATGACAAGGGGAAGAAATATTGATAAGCTGGCATTCTAGTTTCTACCATGTAAGGCACTGACATGTTTTTTTTCCCCCATACAATCCATCATGCAAAACTTTTAAGTGATGCACTATTAGCAAGGTTGCCATTATACTTAATTTTTGGAAGACTTGCTTGCGGCAAGTCTATGGTACTCAATGTCACCCCAAACTATAAAATGGTGGCAAATGAATTTTATTATAATAATAAAAATAGTTTGGAAGAACTAATTTCCCAATTGTATTGGATCATACGGGAAGCCACGTGCTATTATTTGCATACTATAGTCACTTTGGTGTTGCATGTTCTCACTGCTTACAATGCTGTTTTGCTATTGTGGAAATTTGGTTATATGGATTCGGCCTGCAGTCCACACAACTGGCTGCATCCCTAGGTAAAAGTAAAGGTTCCCCTCACACATCTGTGCTAGTTGTTCCCGACTCTAGGGGGCGGTGCTCATCTCCATTTCAAAGCAGCACTGTCTGAAGACGTCTCCGTGGCCATGTGGCCGGCATGACTAAATACCAAAGGCGCATGGAACGCTGTTACCTTCCCACCAAAGGTGGTTCCTATTTTTCTACTTGCATTTTTTACGTGCTTTCAAACTTCTAGGGATTCGAACCGCTGAAGTGCCAACCTTTGATCGACAAGCTCAGCATCTTAGCCACTGCATCCCCAGGAGTCCGAGGCAAATCCTCACCTTGTCATGTCTGACAAAGAGATTCAAGTGCTTAGGGCTGCTTCAAATCGGGGACTTGTTGCAACATTCTCACTTATCTTTAGCTTCTGTCATTGACATCCACTTGTAATTCTTCTGTGTTGCTCCAGTGGTGTTCCTATCTTTTGACTGGAGAAAATCCAACTTTCTGAGGGAAGGATGGAAGGAAAAGGAATGCTCACATGTGCCACTGTCCCCAGCCTTACTCTTATCTTCAAGGGATGGTTTTAAAATATGCAATGACCTGCAATACTACAATCACCATTGCAATACTACAATCCTTGGGCATATTCCAGCCAAGTTTTTCCTATATCCATATAACTGATAGGTTCATTCAGGGAGATGTGGCTGCTGATAATTCAACCAGGAATATTTTCTTCATGTTCTGCATTTTTCCTTCCCAGGTGGCTTTCTCCGGAATATCCAGGAAAGATAAAATATACTGTCTCGGTGAAAAGCTGATCCAAGACATTTCAGTGTATTTGGGGATGGAGATGAATTAAATAAATTATCTTGAACATGAAAATTGCTGCTGAATAAGCAACCTTTCCAAGCTATAGCTTGCTTGCATTATTCAAGGTGTCATAAAGGGAGAAGATGGCCTTTATCTTGATGATTTCACTTTGGAGGAGCAGTAAATCCCTCAAACAGAATTCCTTCCCCCCCCCACCATCTTCCTTTTATTTATTTTGCTTATTACTTCTTCTTCTTCATTCTGCATAACACCGTTTATTCTGAAAGGGAGTAACATGGTAGGGGCTGGGCATATACGTGTTTCAGGGACTCGCCAGAATTTCTAAAAATAAGTTTTCCCAGCTCTTAAAGACACTGGAGTTGACTATACCAAACTGTGTGCCCTATTCCTTAGCTACGATTTTGCTTTTCTCTTTTTTATCACTAGGCTAAAGTTTATTGGAAGTGGGAGTGGAGTTTGTACACATGTAATATTTTAAGCAAGAGACACACCCGTGGTCAGCCTCCTCTTTTCTCCCTGGCCTAGACCAGGGGTCTCCAACTTTGGCAACTTTAAGACTTGTGGACTTCAACTCCCAGAGTTCCTCAGCCAGGTGTCTCCAACCTTGGCAACTTTAAGACTTGTGGACTTCAACTCCCAGAGTTCCTCAGCCAGGGGTCTCCAACCTTGGCAACTTTAAGACTTGTGGACTTCAATTCTTAGAGTTCCTCAGCCAGCAAAGCTGGCTGAGGAACTCTGGGAGTTGAAGTCCACAAGTCTTAAAGTTGCCAAGGTTGGAGACCCCTGGTCTAGAATACCTTCAGTGCATTCTTATTAGTTGTCACACCTAAAAATGAAGCCCCAAACCTGGTGACATCACAATGAACAGCCTTCCTTGAAGTTGAGATTTCAAGGTCACCTCTTACTCTTGGCAAGAGCACAAACAGTTCTTTTTATTGAGATTTACAGAAAGAGAAAGAGAAAGGTGTGGATGAAAGCATAACTCTGTCCCGGCGCCTTTATGCTTTGTTGACTTGGAAGGTACAAGTTGCCCACAAATTCCACATCACGGGTGTGATCTGTGTGTCAGGTATGGTACTTATAAATAGTGTCACTTCACACGTATCGCTGTTGTGTCAATAAATGTAACAAAATGAAATGATATGCTTGCATGTATGAATCGCCGTACAGTTGTAACGAACACTGAATAACCCAAGAGGAACGCAAGGGCAGAAGGCAACTGTTTCACAACTGTCCTGGCCGCTAGGGGGTGCATACAATCCCATCATCAAAACCATCCGATCCATCCTTTAAAAGCAGTGGTTCCCAATGTGGGGCCCATGCCCCACAGAGGGGCAATTTGATTTTTAATTATGACAATTTGGAACCTTGTTTAAACCAAGTTAATGGCCTATTTTAGGCTTCCTCCGCGTGAATAGGAGTTCACTTTTTGAATAGTAAGAATTATATGTCACAGGGCGTGGGATCAGGATTTTAGAGATGCTTAGATGGGGCATGGCCAAAAAAAAAGGTTGGGAACCACTGTTTAAAAGCCTTCAGTCATTTTTCTGTGGCTTGGGGGAAGTGGGTGGGTAGGAAGGTTCTTCAAAGGACTGCTTCTGCCCTTCAAATCATCCTCTGAATTTTACTCCAGAAGATACACACAAACAAAACAAACTATATGCAATACTTGAAACTAAGCACATGCTTTTTTTGGTTTTGTTTTAATAAACACATACTTCCAATGGCAACAGATCAGACTTACTCCGAAGAAGGGTGTGGACATATATCCCAAACTCCAGGAAGGGGCAGTAAGTCATCACATAGTGGTCAGTTGGATAAAATTCTGAATGGATTTAGTAGTCCCCTACCACCACCATAGCTACTGGTGTATACGGGTTCTTCTTTTCCCATATGTACGTGACCCTTTCTTTCTCTTCTAGTTATTTCTGTATCACATCATCATGTCATTTTACAATCATACTATCCAAGTTAAGGCAGCGCCTATCCTTGCTGTCATCCCTTGGGAGAGTAAATGGAACAAATGTCTCTGCCTAATAGTCTTCCTAACCTCAGTATAAATAAGAAATATTTTCAAAAAAAAAAGTAATAGATAAGGTCTCAAAAACACCACAAAGTCTGCAAAGGGTCAGTGAACAGAGAGGTTCGGGAATGCTTTGTCCAGTGCATGATCTTCATCAAGCCAAACCTGGAGGCCCCTTCTGCACCATGCTGTACAGTAGGCCACAAGGTCGTCTGTCCATCCAGGAGCAGCTTTTAAACGCTGCTTCTCTGGAGATTTCTCCACCACTGGAGCAGGCTAAGCTGGACTTGGGTTTTAAAATGGGAAAAACAAACGGAATCCATGTTGTGTCTGCTGAAATGCTTAGAAAAGATATCCTTCTCGCCACTCCTGGTGGTGCTCCAAATACTTATTTCTTATGAAGAAATTTCATTCTGCTACCTAGAGAGGATGAATGGTGGGAAAAGAGAGAGAGAGAGACAATATTTATGGGGGGAAAAAGACAACTCCTTTACCTGCAGAAAAGACTTAAGTTTTGAGTCTCCAACCTTTCCAGGTGAGAGTAAGGTGGCACCTCTGTGGAGCGGAGGCCAAACAGCAGAGAGCTCTGCAATTTTTCAGGATGCCTTGATAGAAGATTGGAAAATGATCCCCTACAACAAGGGTGTCAAACTCAAGGCCTGCAGGCCAGATCCGGCCCATGGAAACAATGAAGGACAACTCGAGGTGCCTCTGCCAGTGAAAATGGAGCTCACATGGCCCTCCCAGGCTCTATTTTCAACCATGATGGCCTCCTGCAGCCCTCTGCCAGCAAAATGGAGCTTGGGGTGCCTGTTTTCACTGGCAGAGGACTACAGAAGGCAGTCACGGCCGAAAACAGGGCTGGTGGATGCGATGGAAACTGGGATGGTGCCCCTGAGTTCCGTTTTCGCTGGAAGAGGGCTGCAGGAAGCCATTGTGGCCAAAAATGAGCCTTGATGAGTGACATCTAGCTGGCCACACCCACCATGGCCACACAACCTGCCCCCCCCAGGTCAAACACAATTCTGATGTGGCCCTCAATGAAATCAAGTTTGACACCCCTGCCCTACAATGTCACCTGAAATCTCCTGCAATTGCAGAAATTATGCCCTGAGAATTTTAGATTGTTTTAGAAATGTCATGATTCTGTAACCACAGAAGTTAGAGGTGATTCTATACAGATTATTAAATTTATATGTTCACTATCAAATTATGTGCAAAGTCTCTTTTCTTATTAAGCAGGGATGTGATGGGATAGGAAATATTTTGGAAGGCAAGAAGCAAATGTTTACTATAGTTAATATTGGAAAACCTTTCAGGTTTAAAAAATGCTTTTTTTTAATGTTACATTATCTAAAAGAGGGGTCCCCAATCCTCAGGCTTCAGACCAGTACTGGACCACGGCCTGTTAGGAACCAGGCCACACAAGCAAGCAAAGCTTCATCACATGGGCGGGATCTGGGTAGCATGTGAAACCATCCCCCACTTCTCCAGCCCATGGAAAAATTGTTTTCCTCAGAACTGGTCCACGGTGCTCAAAAGGTTGGGGACCACTGATCTAAAACATAGGTAACAGGTGCACAATTGTGTGATTTAAACATGGTAATGTAAAAAAAAAAAAAAATTAAAATCAGGATCACTGCAGCAGCTCCACTTGCTTGAATTCCGTACCTAATCCTTTCAAGAATTTATTAACTCCACTCTGTTCTTCACTGGGAAGGGTCTCCAGATATTCCTGGGCACGTACCTCAAACAAACCTAGAGAGATCAAGAATAAGTACAATAATGAAAAAAGACTAACCATTAGGTTTATTGGTTTCAGTTGCTACTACCAATCGGGGAACATTATTATGCTTAAAGGGACATGGTGTCTCAGTGGCTAAGTTGCTGAGCTTGTCGATTGAAAGGTCAGCAGTTCAGTGATTCGAATCCCTAGTGCTGCGTAATGGGGTGAGCTCCCGTTACGTGTCCCAGCTTCTGCCAACCTAGCAATTCGAAAGCACGTAAAAAATGCAAGTAGAAAAATAGGGACCACCTTTGGTGGGAAAGTAACAGCGTTCCGTGCGCCTTTGGCGTTTAGTCATGCTGGCCACATGACCACAGAGACGTCTTCGGACAGCGCTGGCTCTTCGGCTTTGAAATGGAGATGAGCACCGCCCCCTAGAATCAGGAATGACTAGCACATATGTGAGAGGGGAACCTTTACCTTTATTATGCTTAAAAAAGCAAAGCAGAAATCTACACAAGTAAGGCTGTACTTAGATCCACCAATTATCAGGAATCCATTGTAACTCAGTAGGACAACTCATGCCTTGTAGATAAAAGATCTTGGGTTCTATCCTGGGCATCTCCAAAAAGGATTGGAAACTTCTATTCCAACATCCTGGAGAACTGCTATCAGTGATGATAATGCTAAAGAGACAGTTAATTTGACTTAGTGTAAAGAATCTGCTGGATTCTTTGCACTATTCTCTTGTCAAGAGGACCAACTCACCTTTGGCTCCCTGTTTTCGTAATTCTCGTTCTTGAATGAAGCCTCCAAACATTTGAGTCTCCATAAAAACTTCCAGGAACCTTCGAAGGCTCTTTGAAGAAACGGACTTCCGGAAAGCTTCCCGCTGGAGAGCTTTTTCTTCCTTCTCAGCAGGAATCATGAAAAGAGAGTAGTGTCCTACAATCTCCACAAAGAAGCGGACGAAAGCTTCTGACACCACTTCATTCAAAGGGCTGGCCTCTGAGGGGACATTGTAGGGAAATTGAGGAAAGGCAAAACAAAGAATGAAATAAAATCAGCAGGAAAATATACTAGGGTTTAATGATCTTCCTTAACTGTTTTTGGCTAGCCTCCAGATCTATTCCACTACATCAAGGAGGACCGAGCTCTCTCATGGACAACGATTCTGCTTTGCATTCAAAAGGTTTTTAGCAGGGGTGAAATCCTCCCGGTTCGGACCGGATCGGGTGATCCAGTAGCAATCGTGCCGGGTGGTTCGGCAATCCGGTAGTGATTGCGGAGCAAAGCTCCGCCCACCCATCTGGGTGTCATTACTTCCTGGTTTTAACCAGGAGGTAATGTGTTACCTTCTCTGCATGTGCAGGTTTTGCACATGTGCAGAAGGCCTGTGCGTGCATGTGACACTGCCGTACCTGGTAAGGAAGGTAAGTAGATTTCACCCCTGGTTTTTAGTACTATCTTCAACACAGAATCACAAAACATAAGAGCTAGAAAGGATAGGGGATATTATCTAGCCGAACTCCTGCCCAGAGCAAGATTCCATTACTACAGCAATCCCAACAAATAGCCATTCAATCTGTTTTTAAACACCCCTCTACAACCATATAGAATCTGCCATCATTATAGAACAATTATTGTTAAGATATTGTTAAGGTATTTTTTTTGCTCCTATCTTATAACTCATTATACTGTAATTTAAAGCCATTGCTTCCTAGTCCATATTCTGGAATGATGAGCAGTACTGTCTTGACTTCTACATGATGGACCTTCAAATGCTTGAAGACAACTAATGTGTCTTCCTGTACTCTTCTCTAGGTTAAACACAGTGATACCTCAGGAACGACTAGCACATATGTGTGAGGGGAACCTTTACCTGTGTGTGTGTACTTTTATCACTCCCTCCCCCCACTTTCTTTTGGTTATCAAATTTTTGACACCTTGCTAAGCCACTGGGTGGTATTCAAATATTGTCATGTCCTAAAAGTGGTACAATCTATGAAAAGGTTGAAAAGCACTGCTACTGCTACCGAACTGATAAATAATCATTGTCAAAAAAAACAACAACTACCAAATGTTAAATTAAAAACAAAACAAAACCCGAACCCTGTTTGCCGTTGAGTGTGACTTCCTCCTTGTCATTTGCCAGTTCATTTCTCTGCTCCAGTATATGTTCAAGAGCTCCTTGCAACTTTCGGGGCAAAATGGAGTCTTCATCTTCCATCTAAAAAGAAAAGCATGCATTCAAAAAAACGTGCATGAAACCCGATCCTGCATGCAGGGAGACCCATCTGACAATACCGCTCCTGTTCCAGAAGCATGCTTTTTTGGTGACAAAGCATACATTTTTTACATACTCAAAGCTGTTTGAGCTTTGGACAGGCTGAGAAAAAAATGACCAAACCTTCTTGGAGATTTGGTCTGTTTGATCCTTCATAGGCATCTGCAAAATCCCCACTTTCTATTAAATGCATGGAGTGTCTTTCCCTCTTGTGCATATGGTCATGTTAAAAGGATAGGCATTAAATGGCATTTGGCGCCTAGGAGTGCTGAAGGACACAATTATAATAGATTCCATCTTGGGCCATGGCTTCCCTGTAATGAGCTCCAGACTCAACCCTGAGGATGAAAATAGCTTCTAATTGGACAGATCCTAATGCTACCAGTAGATCCTAATGCTACTGAGAAGATATTCCATCCTTTCTCCTTAATTGATTTCCTTTTGTCAGGGAAAAAGGAGCAATAGAACACACAGGGAAACTGCCAATGAAAGACAACGCAGCATACTCCTGGTAGTTGCAAACTACCTTTGCAATTTTCCATTGGCAATTATAACACAGTATATATCTCTTTTTCTGATATCCTGAGTAGGGCTTTTGGCGGCCCCTGTTCTTCACTGTGTGTGTGTGTGAGTGTATATATACACATACAACTCAATTGCAAAATAACAATGCTTCTTCTTCCTATTTTCCCCATAACAACCATGATGTGAGGTGAGTTTGGCTGAGAGAGAGTGACTGGCCCAAAGTCACCCAGCTGGCTTTCATACCTAAGCCAGGACTGGAACACACAGACTCCTGGCTAGTGCCTTAACCACTACACCAAATTATGAGCAGATTATGAGCCTAGCGGTGTATTGGGTTTTTAACTCCCAGCCAAGCTAATGGAATATTCTGGGAACTATTGTCTCCAGATGTCAAGACATCAGAAAGTTGAACTCAGGGCAAATTAACACACTCTAGGAGCATTACACTAAAAGAAGGAGAAGACACTGACTACAGAGGTTGATTCTTCAACATGAACTTTTGCCAGAAGATCCAGAAGGAACCATTCCCCCCTGGAAAAAGGATATTTTTCTTTCAATGTACCACATGAGCATAGCTAACCAGCACATGCCATGCACACTCCAATTCACACCATTTCTTGGCTGTAAAACATGAAAGCTAGACAAGATGGTTGAGCAGTTGGCACCATCCAATACTGACCTGTTTTACAGGAGAAGGCCAGCTTCAAGGTAAGAGTAGAGCTGAGGAAAAAATGCCACCTGGGGAATAGCAACTTAATTAACAAAAGGGGGGAGCCATTTTTAATCTCCCACAATGCCCTAGGATATACCATATTCTAAAGAATTGTAGGTAAGTTCAAAAACTAACTTCCAGCATACAGTTGGCAAAAAGTATATTCAGAAACCAAGAATATTCAACACTGCTAGGGCCTTGGCAGTTCTCTGAAGATGTTTCGGCTGGTTCTGATGTGGGATTTTCTTTGTCTATTTTATAACTTTTGTTTCTAAATGATTTCCCTGGGTTTCTAATGCTATACTACCGATCCAAAAAGAAAAGGACAGCACTCTTGAAAATATTCTGAAAGTACATGAATTCTGGCTGGAAGAGTAGACATGTAGTCAATCTTTCTTTCTCTCTCAAAGCCAAAGGTCACCGTTTCAATTATTTTCCTTTCTATACTTTCATCGGCAGCCAGTAACTCTGGCAGGCTTTAGGATGGTTTGATGCTTCTGAAACCGCTGGTCAGAGGAGATGTCAGGATAAGACAATGTGCATGCAGACTGGGAGAAGCAATGCCACCTCAAAAGCTAAATTCTCAGCTTCTGATGGCTATCTGTTTATAGTTTAGATTTCTAATCACTCTCTTTGGATTTGCAGGAATTAAGAAAGGGATAGGTTATATTCCTGTGATGGCGAACCTATGGCACGCGTGCCCGAAGTGGCATGTGGAGCCATGTTGCCTGGCATGTGCGGCGTCGCCCGTTCCTCTTCCGGGTTTCTGGCACATATGCACACGCGACAATCAGCTGGCCTTTTTGGATGTGGCAGTGCCAGAAACTAGAAGAGCTGGTCTTCCGTTTTCCTGCGTGAGCATGAGTGCCAGCCAGCTGATCATCGTGTGTGCATCTGCACCAGAAACCCGGAAGAGTAGCTGGCTGAAACCAGAAGTTCATTTTTGAGTGCGCGCATGTGCCCTGGGAAGCTCTTCTTCCAGGTTGCGGCCCAGGCACGCACACACGTACTCCCTTTTTGGCACTCGGTACCGAAACGGTTCGCCATCACTGTCAGTATCAGATAATTTTCAGCAAAAGATTTCTCCATCCTTCCATTCTCCCTGAACAAATTAAAAAGAAAAGACTGAAAAATAAGTTATGCTTACCTGTCTAAGGAACCGGTTATTAACAAGGTCAACCACAAGGACCTGGCCATCAATACATACACATAAAAAAGAGAGAGAGAACATTAGAGCAGATGAGCTCTCTAAGTCTTGCATACAGAACTCAAAATGCCTCAAATATTGTTACCGGTAAGTAAAGAAGGAAATTCTTGAATAATTCCCTTAAGTATAGCTAAGTTTCTTCCAAGTAAATAAAAGAGAAATTGAATTTACTATTTTGTCCTGGCCCTAACATCTTTGGGAGAGACATTCTCAATGCACCAGTTAAAGGACATCTTCAGGCTTTGATCCAGGTTTCTGCACTCCAGAGAGAGAGGAAGAAGTAGACTGATGTCCTTGAGAAAAGGACTGCCTGCTTTGCAGCTTTCAGGAGAAAAGGCTACATCTCATCAATGGAATCCCATGAGCCACAAAAAGATATGAAACCCAGTCTGATCATAGGGTGGTTTTATGTATTTCACCACAAAACCACAAGCTGACAACTGAAACACATGGAAGCTATTCTTCACTTCTCTCTCCCTCTCCCTGTATCTCTCCCTGTCTCTGTCTCTGTCTCTGTCTCTCTCCCTCTCTGTCTCCCTCTCTCCCTCTCTGTCTCTCTCTCTAGAGAGAAAGAGAGAGAGAGAGAGAGAGAGAGAGAGAGAGAGAGAGAGAGAGAGAGAGAGAGAGAGAGAGGGTACTTTCTCTCAGGAATTTTTCCTGCCTGAGCTGCCACTCAACAGACAGCAGCAATAGGCTGAATTAAAATGAGAGATAGCTGCTTGCATTTAAATGATGGAAGCACAGAACTGTCAATGTGTGTTTAATTTGGTTATTTGTTTTAAAAACGGATCTGCTGCTTCTCAAAGCAATTTCCCCCCCGAAGGCGTCTCATGTAAACATTTTGAAAACAACACTGAAAAATCTACATCTCATTCTGGAACAAGAAGATAAAGCAAGTATAAATATAGGCTTTTTTTTTTTAAAAAAAGCAGATAACCTTTAAAACCACCTAGATTTTTTTTAAAAAAAATAGACTACAAGGGCTGGACAAATAGAGGTGGCAGGCATTAGGGTAACTTCTCAAAGAAATAATTTCTACAGCGTATACCCCAGTTTCCTGTAGCCCAAACCACTGCACTCTTATTTACTTCTGCAGGCAATTTTAATACATGTTTTAAATCAATGTTTTTCAAACTTGGCAACGTTAAGATGTGCAGATTTCAACTCCAGAATTCCCCAGCCAGTATACTGGGAATTTGGGGAGTTGAGGTCACATCTTAACAATGTCAAGTTTGAAAAGCGTTGCTTTAAAAAGGTCTCCCTCTGAGCCACAATGTTTCCAGCTGAAAACATGCACCACACAGATTGTTAAAGTTATGTGGCTAGTAAGATATTGAAATGTCCCATATCTGGGACATTATCTGACTTCCCACATGCAACTTAAAAGCCAATTTGGAGTTTAACACAACCTTTAGCTTTTCTGATCTCACCTCTTCCACTGGCAGCTCCTTGAGGCGGGGCAAGGAACTGGAGAGCAGGCCAATCAGAAAGGGGGTTGGCGAGCAGACAATGTCAATCATTGAAGGGGGAAGTACCGGGATGTAGGTGTGCTGCCAGGCAAAGGGGTAAAGAAGGGCCACTGTGGCATGGCAGCATTTGGACAAGGTACTAGAAGGAAGAAATGAAAGAAGCAATCAAGGTTCCTTGTAGTAGTTCTTCAAAGCATTTAAAGTCAATGAACACAACACAAACACTCCTTAACAAACACAACCGGCTTTCTGACGCTATGACGTCTAATCCAAAAACGAACTTGTAAAAATCTAGTCTGTTTTATTGTGTTTATATTGTGTTGGTTATTACCTTTAAAGCCCTACATGGCTCAGGGCCAGGTTATCTTTGAGACAGCCTTCTACCGCATAGCTCCCAGCGACCGGTAAGATCCCACAGAGTTGGTCTCCTCCGGGTCCCGTCAGCTAAACAATGTCGGCTGACGGGCCCACGGGGGAGGGCCTTCTCTGTGGCTGCCCCAGCTCTCTGGAACCAGTTACCTCCTGAGGTCCGGACCATCCCCACCCTACTGGCCTTCCGAAAAGCTGTGAAGACCTGGCTTTTCCGGCAGGCCTGGGGTCCTTGATCTCGCTTTGCGATCTGGCAAGATCCGGTCATGAATGGTGTGAATGCGTTCTAAGGTTTTTAATGTTTTTTAATCTTTTAAATGTTTTTAGAACGTTTTTTTTAAATGTATTGTGAGCCGTCCTGAGTCTCCGGAGAGGGGAGGCATATAAATTTAATAAATAAAATAAATACTACAGTATTCTAGGTGTCTTTTTAAAGAGGTTTTTTTTAGAAAAAGAAAAAAATCATTTACATTCATAGTAACATACATACATATATATTCCATTTTTAAAAAATGCAAATAGTTTTTAAAAACTGTTTTTTTCTTTGAAACTAATATTTCTCCTAGGGAGATTTTTAAAACATACATCTCTCTGGTGTTTTTTAAATTAGCTTTTAAAATAATTGCGTGCTAAAAGTTTCTGCACACAAGTATTCACACCTTTTTCGGATCATAGAAAGAGACAATGCTTTTGTTCAATGCCAGTGTCTGCATTCTCATTCATGCTTCTAGGAATAGAAGGCCCAACAGAAACCTGGAATTCCGTTGCATCCGTAAAACACACCTGACCAATTTAATCAGAAGTAGCTGAGTTCTTCCAGCAACTACAGTGCAGACAAGCTGACATCTCAAAATTACATCCTGGGGTTCACATCTCAGTTTCAGGCCCATTTTCCCCCTGAGTACAAGGATTCCTGGAAATAAAGCATTAAGTAAACGCTCAGATTTCACACTGTTGCCTTTTACACGTGGCAAGGCATGGAGCCGTCCCAAATTCCTAATACTTTTTCCTGCCAGCTAATGGAATTGCTATCAAAACCGAGCCTGCATTTCTGCTGAAATCAGCCATTTGTGGGAAGTTGGCATAAACAAAAAAATCCCATGGAACCCTCTGACGTACATACAACTGAGAGCATTTTGGTATTTAAAAAGCCTTGTGGGATCAGCTTGAAAGCCCATCTAAGTTAACTTCTGAGTCATAGTGGCATGACAGGTGAGCCCAAAAGATTCTCATGGGCAGGGTCTTCTACTGCCATTCCTTAGAACAAAGGTCTTCAAAAGTGGCAGCTTTAAGACTTGTGGACTTCAACTCCCAAAATTCTCCAGCCAACATAGCTGGGAGTTGAAGTCCACAAGTCTTTTAAAGCTGCCATGTTTGAAGACCTCTGCCTTAAAAGATGGTTTTTGAGAGACACACAGACACTCCCGCTTTTGATTCTGGAGACAGAACCCAGTCATCTAAACCAGGGGCCTCCAACCTTGGCAACTTTAAGACTTGCGGACTTCAACTCCCAGAGTTCTGGGAGTTGAAATCCACAAGTCTTAAAGTTGCCAAGGATGGAGACTCCTGCCCTAAACCAATAGCCACTGATGGGCAACTCTTCCACCGATTTATCACAACCTATCATTTTCTCAAATTGCCTGGATTCTAAAACACCAAGATTGCACCGATACAAATTCCTCCTGTTGATCAAATTGAAATACTGCTAATCAAAGGAGAAATATAAGGAAAAGCATGGAATGAACAGCAAGGTTATAGAAACAAGAGCTGAAGTCCAAACATATTAAACATATCGGATTGAGAACAGCTGGCATAAAAAGAACTTTGCTATTTCTATTTGGCAAAATTCATCAGTGTGCATTTGAATAGTGAAGCCTCAATGATGATGATGTGATATTTTCATGATTTTTAAAGAATCTTGTAAGCTGCCTTGTACTTTGAAAAAAAATGCATCCAGAAAAATGAATAGATAGGCAGAGAACTAATGCCACCATGGCAGGTTTTCTAGATATGTTTGGAGGACATGCAATTTGGATATGGGTGACATGCAGCTTACACTCAAATAGAGCCCCCAGATTAGAAGAGACTTTGGGTTTTTCAGATTTTAGGAAAGGAACTGCCAAAAAACTGTCTTTTTGCAAAAGGAGAATATGGTAATGCTATTTTCATAATCAAAACCAACAGTTTTCAAACCCCACCCTCCGAGATAGGCAAGAGAACAAGCCACTCATCAGTGTAGGCCCGAAATCTTGAGCATCTGGAAGCTGCGTATGTAACTCAAACAGAGCCATAACGTCATTCGGTTTATAAGCCAGGTCTTGAATGGATGGAGACGGGAGGAAGAGAAGGAGGAGGGAGATATATTGTGCTGCCTAAAGGAATCATATGGCCAGGAAACTACTTACAGCTGGCTTGAGTTAAGCACCATGAGAGAATGTGTGCTGAGCAGGAGGGAAATGGGGAAGGCTTGGTGGAGGAAGAATATTCCATGCCTGACAACAATTTCTGCAGTTATGTGACAGAAAACGAAAGAACTTGCAAAGGAGGAGGAGGAGGACTGAAGTGCTATGCAGCAATTCTGGCTGGCTAAGAATCCTTTTTTTTTTTTAACAGAGTAAAGTTTCTATCCCTCATGATTATAAAAACTAAAATTTCTATGGGATGTGAAGTGTTGAATTCTAAACTCATTCCTTCTCCCCTCCCCTTATCTTTCTGGTCTTCTTAACTACACAGAAATGCACATCATGATCAGCACTGCTTCCCCTCCATTCCAGCCACCTGGATCTAGATTGCTTGTAGAAGACAACATGGGTTTTTAAGTTGCCCTTGCTATATCAACCTGCCACCAAAACAGCAAGTCTAACTTGCTTTTAGGAAAGTGAATCAGTCGTGTTTATGGCACATTTGTCAATGCCCAAAATCTTTCTCTGAGTCCATTGTTGCTAAACTGACTTTTTGGGAGAAAGAAGAAAGGAGTTGGGACATCATGAGTAATGGAGCCCTATTCTCATCACCAAATACTTTGGAGCAATCGTCTTCAAACTAGTGCCCACTACAGATTTTATGAGACCATTCCAATGTCCCAAAGATGCTTTTTCAAGAGGCAACTGGATTTTCTTGTTTTTCTTTGAAGACGTTTTGCTTCTCATCCAAGAAGCTTCTTCAGCTCTGAAGTCCAGTTGCCTCTTGAGAAAAAAAGCACATTTAGGACAACCATTACTTGGATGACTGAGAATCTCCATAGACAGACGATTCCAATATTTCTGATCATTAGTAATACTCTCTGGAATTATAATTCCTGGGTTGTTAAAAGATAAATTTGGAATTGCATAGAGACCAAACTGTTTAAACTGAGAGGATTGGAGGAATGTGATTAATTGTGATTTGTTCATCTAATCATATTTATTTATTAAATTTCTATGCTGTAATACTACTATTTTACACTTCTCTTGGGATCCTGCCACTGCAAGCTTTCAGAAACTTTTAAAACAAAAAAAAAAACTTTAAGACAATGCAATGAAAGATTAAATGTCACTGCTGTATTAAAGCAATAATTTCAAATTATTTTGTGGGATTTATCCCCATCCATGTTTATATATATAATTAATTAAAATATGGAATGACATGTTGGTAAAATTGGATCCTAAGTAAAACATTAATCATTAAAATGAAACCACGAAACTCTAAACGAGCTGCTGGCTTCTCTTTGTAAAATGACAGTCAAAAAAAGAAATTCTAAATAAAAAATAAAAATAGAAAGGCATTTTGGCTTTTAGAGTTCTTTTGAATTACCAATTATTGGATTCTTCCTATCTCAATGATAAGCTTTGTGCAAAAGAGTTGAGCAGCTCAAATTAAAGCTTGGGGTTTTGTTTTTTTTTAAAAAAATGGAAGCATGGACATCCAAGTTTTTTTTTTAGCTGACAAGATCAATTACTAGAGTTATTATGGGAAGGTGGGAGGGAGGAGGAAGAAATAAGTTTTTTTCCCCCCTTTCCACTTTCAAGGTTCATAATAACAGAAAGGATTTTGAGAAGGGAAAGAAAAATAACAAGATATGCACTTTCTGCACGTAGCTTAAATTGGCATCTTTCTTCAGTTGTAGATGGGCTGTTAAAACTTTTTTTTCCTATTCCGCATGCCTTTTAATATTCTCTTTGCTTCAACGGAACTTTTTCCTATTGTTTTGCTTTGGTTGGTATCCCAGGTTTTTACATTGTTTTAAAGTTTTCTATTGTGAAGACGCCTGCAAAATGATCTTACTTGGATCAAAAGGCAACCCAGTAATTTATTGATGAATAAATGCACTTATTAAACCTGGTTTGGGCTTTGTTCAAAAATGCTCCACAACACGTACACTCAAAGCCTTTTTCCCTTTCACCAAAAGCTAAAGAAATATGGAAGAAACCACATGTACCAAAACTGGCTCAAGATATTTTTCCAAAGTTAATGTTCTCCTTTCCATCAAAGAGCATAGTACCTCTCCCTTATAGTTAAAATAAACAACCAACAGAATTGGTTGCCATTTCATAAGATCCTAAGTCCAGGGGTGGGCTGCTGGGGATTCGCAGGGGTTCAGGAGAAGCTCTAGCTAAGATTCTGTGCAGTTTGGAAAACCCCTAACTCCCACTCCTGGCTAGCCCCCACTCCCACCCCTCCCAGGAGTCCCCACGCGGCCCGTTTTGGATGCAGGTAAGTGCAGGGTGTGCGTGGAGACTCGGGGAGGGCGAAAAATGGGCCTACCGGAAGTTCGGGAAGAGGGCCTCTGGA